TTGCTGGAAGAACTCGTGGTTACAGCTCATCACCACAGAACACAGACTAAACTCAACTCAGCAGAGAAGGAGACGCGCAAGACAGAGTCCTCCAGTTGTGCTCTCCCGGTGGAGTTGTCTGGGCACTGCTTTGCGTCTCTCAGTCGGGGTTGCTCTCCTGAGCCCTGGTGTGTGGACTCTTACTGGGGGCAGTCACGAAGGCACAGCTGACTGTCCAAGCCTGAGTCTCTGGTCCCTCCAGAGGTTGAACCCATCCCAGCCACAGGCCCAGGGCCCCCACCAGAAGTTGCATTATTAACGTAAACTATCTGGAATAGCCCAAGGTCTCCAGGTAGACAAAGACTTTTCTGTCTTGAAGGATATGCTAGGGTCTTTCTTTGGGATGCATAGGGTATGAACAACCTAGATTATCTCAGTTAATTCTTTTTTTAATTTACTTTTATTTTCATTTTTATTTGAAAGAGAGAAAGAGACAAATGAAGTGAGAGAGAGAGAGAGATGCAGTGAGATCTTCCATTCATTAGTTCATTCCCCCAAATGCCCACAACAGCCAAGGGTGGGCCAGGAATAAGCCAGGAGCCCATAGTTCAACTCCACCATGTGGGTGGCAGGAACTTGAGTACTCTGCCTCCCAGGGTGTGCGTTAGCAGGAAACTGGAACTGGGAGCAGAGCTGAGGCTTCTCCCCAGGCACTGTGATAGGGGATTCCGGCATCCCAAGTGATGACTTAACTGCTAGAGCCCCACGCCCATGCTTGCTGAGTTAAGTCTTTACTGTACAGTTCCTCTTACTTGGCAGAACTCTCTGATGAGTAATGCCAGCTTAACACCACCTCCCTCTTTTGACCTTTGCCCAACCCTAGACTCACTGCACAGCACGATAGATATCGCTGGGTAGTACTTAAGTGCCATGCCTGGTCTCCAGTCCAGAATAGTTAGATGGTACTCTAGGAGTGAACCTGGGCACCAGTATTTTTATTTATTTGAAAGACAAAGAGAGATAAACAGAAATCTCCCATTTGGTTTAATCCTCAAATGCCTGTGACAGCTGAGGCTGTGCCAAGCTGAAGCCAGGAGCCAGGAACTCCATCTGGGTCTCCCACATGGGTGGCAGGGACCCAACTACTTGAACCATCATCACCTGCTGCCTCCCAGGCTGGGGATTAGCAGGAAGCTAGAGTTGAGAGAGGAGCTGGCACTGAAACCCAGGCACTTTGATACTGGATGCTGGCATCTCAAACCATGTCTAAACTGCTATGACAAAGGCCTACCCCTCAGCATTTTTACATTGTTATCTGTGAGGATTCGATGCTGAGGCAAATTTAAGAGCCACTAGGTGGGGCTAGCACTGTGGCATAGCAGGTAAAGTTGCTGATTGCAACGCCAGCATCTCATGTGGGCATTGGTTCGTGTCCAAGCTGCTCCACTTCCAATTCAGTTCCCTGCTAATGGCCTTGGAAGAACAGAGAGACATAGCCCAAGTGTTTGTGTCCCTGCCACCCATGTGGGAGGCCCAGAGGAAGCTCTTGGCTCCTGACTTCTTGCAGACATCTGAGAAGTGAACCAGCAGATAAAAGATTCTCTCTCTCTCCCTCTCTCTCTCTCTCTCCCTTTTTCCCCCCACCCCTGTAACTCTGACTTTCAAATAAATAAATAAGTCATAAAAAAAGAACCACCGTGTGCAGGGACCATCCCTGAGGGTGCTGGGAAAGTGTAGATGGAGCACTCGAGGGTGTGCGGGTAGGGAGAGTATTTTTCCTGGAAGATCAGACAGGGACATGGTACCTGTGCTGGGCCTGGGAGGACCAACAAGATTTAAACCTTGAGAGAAGGCGGGGAGCAAATCAGCACAATTAGCTAGAAAGGGGAAACAGGCTAAGAGGGGAGACTGAGGCCAAGTCCCCCCAAGCTTTTAATGCCTTTGGACCTGGTTTTGTGGCAAACAAGCATCTGCCGAAGCCTCGTGTGCAAGATGCGTCAGGCTCAGGCTCAGTCGGAGCCGTGCTTTCAGGCAGCTGCTCCCCCAGGCCAGGCTGCAGGTGCATGAGGAGGAGGGTCAAGGGTAGTAGGAGCCTGTTTGATCAGCCCTGAGGAGGACAGAGTCCTTGGCACTCGATTGCCAAGTACTCATTTCATGCCTGCCGCCTGCGTATGAAGCGCTGTTACAGGCCCTGAAGACAGAGCAGTGAGCTGCCCACCAGGCCTGTGACAGTGAAGCTGCAGGGAAGGAGAGAGGCAGCCAACCAGCAAACACAGCCATGCGCTGCCGAATGCCAGGGATGCGATCTGAGAAATGCAAGCGTAGTGGATTTTGCCATGCAACCATCCCAGCATGTACTGACCAAGAGGCGGGTGGCGTGTATCCTAGTACACACCCAAGATGTACAGTTTATTTGTACCATGGTTTGTCTGGTCCTTTATTGAGCACGTGTTGTTAGGCAGCGTGTGACTGTACAAACGTGTTAGGTGAAGCTAAGAGTTGTGGAAGAAGAGGAGGCGAGAGCACAGGGAATGAGGTTAGGGGTCTTTCTACAACAAGATGCGTGGAAGTGTCCTCGGATACGGTGACACTTGATAGGGAGTCGGAGACCTGGGTGGGTGGCAGATGAACCTTTAGGGAGGGACGACAGCAGGTGCAGAAGCCACGAGTGGTTATAAGCGTGCCAGCGAGAGTGACGTCCGTGGGGGTGGAGATGCAGGGACAGGTCTGACTCTTGTGGAGAATCAGCAGGTTCGTGACTAATTGGATGATGTGTGGATGACACAGTTGTAGTTTGGTTTAAGGCAAATGTGCTTCCTTAACACTGGCTACACTTTACAATCATGCAGGAAGTATTTAAAAACTCCAGTGTTGGGGCCGGTGCCATGGCTCATTTGGTTAATCCTCCGCCTGTGGCGCCAGCATCCCATATGGGCACCGGGTTCTAGTCCCAGTTGTTTCTCTTCCAGTCCAGCTCTCTGCTGTGGCCCGGGAGGGCAGTGAAGGATGGCCCAAGTCCTTGGGCGCCTGCACCTGCATGGGAGACCAGAAGGAAGCACCTGGCTCCTGGCTTCAGATTGGCGCAGCGCTGGCTGTAGCAGCCATTTGGGGAGTGAACCAACGGAGGAAGGAAGACCTTTCTCTCTGTCTCTCTCTCTCACTCTCTATATCTCTACCTGTCAAATATATATATATATATATATATATATATATATATATATAAACAACTCCAGTGTCTAAGCTTTACTATTCCATCTGTGTCAAGTTCAGATAGACAAAATATGAAGAATGTAGAAGGAACTCTTTACCTCTTGATAATATGACAATTTTTAAAATGGGCAAAAAATATGTAGAGATATCACCAAAGAAGAAACACTCAATATAACTTGATGACAGAGAAGTATAAATTAAGAAACCATGATGAGACATCATTACACAGCAACTAGAAAGACCAAAATTTGGCCTGACCGTACTAAGTGTTGACAAGGACATGAAGCAAATGGGGCTTTCAGACACTGCTAGTAGGAATACGAAACGGCACAGTCACTGTGGAACACAGTTCAGCAATTTCTTTAAACAGTTGAGCATAAGGGCAGGCATTTTGCCTAGAGATCAAGATGCCAGTGGCACATGCCACAGTGTCCGGGTTTGAGCCCCTGCTCTGGCTTCTGACTTCAGCTTCCAGCTAATCCAGACCCCGGGAGGCAGCAGTGATGGCTCAAATAATCGGGTTCCTGCCGCCCACGTGGGAGACCTGGGTAGGGTTTCCCGATCTTTGGCTTCAGCCTAGCCTGGGTCATTGCAGGCATTTAGGGATAGAACCAGCAGATGGAAATTCTCTCTGCCTATCAAAAGAGTGAAACCTGGATTTTCTAAATAGCTCATGTTACACCAGAACTCTGGAGACCAAACCACCTGTGAAATACAAGGGTTTGTTGCACTGCCCAGAACATGAGGTGCCCCCTACCTCTTATCTGGGTAGTGTAAGGGTGAAGGGAGTGCTTCCCCCCCTTGCCTCTGAAGGTTTGCTGGAGAGAACGACAGCAGACAGATCCACCAGGAGAAAGAGACATACTCATTTACGGGGTTGTCACAGGAGGATGACTGCCCACTGTGCCAGCGAGGTTTGGCTGCCTCCACTCCTTAATTCATGAAACAGAGGGAGGTGTGGGGGGGTGGAGGTATTTTAGGAAAGACAAATGGATCCAGGAGACAGAAATTATCTTGCAGATGATTCTCTTTGGAGTTGGAGTGAGCCCAAGAGACAGATGATTTCTTGGATATCTTGCAGCAAAGTGCAACTGCGATAGATAATGGGATTTTGGGGAGTTGGGGGGAGGCAGTTCTGTTCTCTCTGGTGGGTCCAGGCTTCAGGCAGGCAAGAAAATCTTCCCTGTGCCTGTGAGAGAGAAAGAGGACCAAGAGCCAGGGCGAGCGAGGGCAGCGGGAAGGTCAGTGAGACTTTGAGCCTCTGCCTTCTCAGCTCAGCGTGTGAAATGCCGTGCTTGGAGATACTGTTTTCTGGGCCCCGACGGTGGCCCCCACAGAGGTGTGTAACTGTAGAAAGCTGCTGCACACTCAGGATTTGTGCATTTTACTACATAGAAATTGTACCCCAGTGTCTGAGCCCCATTCCTAGAGATTGGATTGGGATTTAGCTGGTGTGGGGATGAGCCCAGGCACTGTCGTATTTTAGGAGTTCCTAGGAGATTCCAAGGTGGAGCCACAGCTGAGAGCCACTGGTTCAAGGCCCAGGCAAGAGTCAGTGTTGTGTCTAAGTACCGGGGCGTCTTCTGGTGCCACTTGCAGCCTGGGGCATGTTCAGGGCTGCAGGACGGTGCGGCTCGGCTTGGGTTTCCCGTGGTTTGAGGTGAGGGCGGGGCCACTAATGAGCTTCACCAGGGATGCACACGCAAAGCCAAGCAGGACACTCCAGGGTCGGGCGCTGTAAAATCACTGATTGTGTGCTGAGCACCCCGCCCCGCGTGGGGTTCGCTTCAGGCTGCTTTTCTGACTCCCAGGGTGAGATGGCAGAGGACGAAGGCTCCCAGGACACCTTGCGGCTACAGTTCAAGGCCATGCAGGAGATGCAGCACCAACGGCTACAGAAGCAGATGGAGAAAAGGAAGGAAAAGGAACTGAGCTGCCAAAGCAGAGCTGATGAGCAAAAAGAGCCCTTGGAGATCTCCGAAGGCCTCGGTCTCCTCCACGCAGGAGAACAGAACTCAAAAATTAGCTTTGAGCAAGGGTAAGTGCAAGTTTGAAGCATTGTGGGGTGGTGGGGGAGAAGGCAGGGGAGAATTGCCTGCAGACGTGGGTAGACAGGTGGACTAGGTGTGGGTTTCTGAGTTGAGGGTGGTTTTGACACAGAGGCTGTTATTAAAGACTCCAGCGTCTAATTGACCTATGTGCCTGAGGACATAATTTGATATGGAATGTATTCCAAAAGCATTGGAAATCTAAGCTTTTAAACTCATCAAGGTATCAGTTAATTCACTTGAGTTTTCTTTTGCAGTCTCTCTTGCATGAAAACTGTGCTTGCACTTCCAAGGGGCTGGTTGGCTCACGGGTAGTTCAAAGATGACCCTTGCTCCAGATCTCATCAAGGGTCTTCCTCTAGTGACAACCGTTCTTCCCTGACGTACAGCAACACATAAACACATCCTGTCCTGGAGAAGCAAGATGGATCCCTTCTTTACAGTTGGCAAAAAGGTCGAAGAAGTCCAGAACAGTCTCAATGTGCTCTAAATTTAAAAATGCTTCACAGGGCCGGCGCCGTGGCTCACTAGGCTAATCTTCCGCCTTGCGGCGCCGGCACACCGGGTTCCAGTCCCGGTCGGGGCGCCAGATTCTGTCCCAGTTGCCCCTCTTCCAGGCCAGCTCTCTGCTGTGGCTAGGGAGTGCAGTGGAGGATGGCCCAAGTGCTTGGGCCCTGCATTCACATGGGAGACCAGGAGAAGCACCTGGCTCCTGCCTTCCGATCAGCGTGGTGCGCGGGCCGCGGCGGCCATTGGAGGGTGAACCAACGGCAAAGGAAGACCTTTCTCTCTGTCTCTCTCTCTCACTGTCCACTCTGCCTGTCAACAAAACAAAACAAACCTTCACAGACGCATGTGGATGTTTGCTGCTTATGAGAAGCCAGAGTCTGCACTGTTGAATCCTCTGCTGCCTGTTCTACTAAAAATCACAGCCGTCGTTGCAATGTCTGGTTGCTCCTGGTTCTGCCCTGAATCTATTTTCTGCATCTTCAGATTCTGCTTTTCTTGGATTCTTACTTTTCAAAATATTCTACTTAAAAATTCTAGTTGGGAAACAAAGTTTTCTTAATAAGTAGAAAAATTGATATAGCTGCTAAGTTTTCCCTCTAAGTCATCCTAAGACCTATTTCCAAATGACCTGTCCCCAAATAAGAGAAACTGGAATCGGTAGACCTGAGCCCTTGGTGGAATAATAACTATAATAACAGTGATAGCTGTCACCCGATAACTGCTACTCCCCCTAACATCCATTCCCAGAGCACCTGTCTGTGGAGAGCCTGTTCTGGGCCCAGCAGAAGTGATTACAAACTCATCAGTCATGGGTTTCGCATGGTTGAAAGTTCTGAACAGAACCTCACAAGACAACGTATAATATACAAAATCAGCCATCTGCTCTAGTCTTCTGTCAGGTTTACCTGAAACCCAGGCCTAGTCTCAACTTAAGACTTTGAAAGTTCCTTTTTGATCTTCTAAGAGCCATGTGTGTGTGGCTGTGTGTGTGTGTATGTGTGTGTGTGTTTATACGTACACTGCAGAAGCTATGTCAAAACTTGGGAAGTGTAACTAAAGTGAGAGGAGAAAATGTTCAGCCTTAATTATAGCTGCGTTTCACAGGTTTTGGTACAGCTTCCATGGCTGAGCCTTTCTAAATACTTCCTAATGCACATTATGTTTCTTCTTAACCCAAACATAATTTAGGAATGTGGGTTTTTTCTTTTTTTTTTAAGATTTATTTTATTTACTTCAAAGGCAGAGTTACAGAGAGGCAGAGAAAGTGAGAGAGTCAGAGACAGAGACAGAGAGAGAGTCTTCCATCCACTGGTTCACTCCCCAAATGGCCACGAAGGCTGGAGCTGCGCCAATCCAAAGTCAGGAGCCAGGAGCTTCTTCTGGGTCTCCAGTGTGAGTGCAGGGGCCCAAGGACTTGGGCCATCTTCCGCTGCTTTCCCAGGCCACAGCAGAGAGCTGGATCAGAAGTGGAGCAGCTGGGACACGAACCAGCACCTCTATGGAATGCTGGTGCTTCAGGCCAGGGCTTTAACCCACAGTGCCTGAGAGGGGTTTTTATAGTTGCAACATATGATAGAATCTGGGTTTTGCTCTTTATTTGACTTTTTTGCTTCTTTCTTAGTATCAATGTCTTATTTTAGTCAATTTCCATTAGAGAAAATTGTATGATATCATTATTTGGAGTTCGCCAAGATTGCCTTTGTAGGCTTAATCCATTCTTATGCATGTTCCCTGAAAGGAGTGTAAATTCCCTGAGAGGGGGCTTTGTGCAGCTCTCTGTTGGAGTCAGCTAATAAACAAGGTTGTTCAAACCTTCTTTCTCCTTTCACTTGTGCGTGGGTGTGGTGTGTGCACTTAATCATTAGACTCTGAGAATAGTGTGTTTAAATCCCTTACTTTCTGTTTCCTATCACCATCTAGTGCCCAACCCAGGTACAGTATGCGAAGGCAGTGGAGGCCTGACCCCTGCCCACCTGTCCCAGAGAAGGCGCAGTAACTCTGCCTTTGCCTTGTAGGGTGCTTGAAGATGAGATTAACCAGCTTCGAGATGAGCTCAGGGAAACCGTCGATGAGAACGGGCGACTGTATAAGCTGCTGAAAGAAAGGGACTTTGAAATCAAACACCTGAAAAAGAAAATAGAAGAGGACAGATTTGCCTTCACAGGTAGCTGCACCATGGGTTTTGTGTGTGTGTTTGTTTTTTTTAAATGCACACACGACAGACATTGCTGGGAAATCAAGGTTGCTGTCACTGCTCCAGAAAGAATATGAGACAGGGAAGTCAGCTATTCTCCAAGGATTTCCCAGGACCCAGCTGCCTTGGTCTAGGCTGGACCTTGGCCCTATGAATGGAGACCTATCCCCACGGGTCTGGCGAGAATTTCAGTTTGGTAGGCCTGGCGAGGACCTTAGCCTTCTGTGGATGTGAGTCACGGATCGGCTCTGTGGTGATCACTTTGACCGAGCCTGCTTGTGCTCTGCTCTGTGTGTGCCCACTGAGCAATTCCCACATGGTTAATAACCAGTCACAGAGAGGAACAGGGCTGACCCAGTAAACAAAGGTGGGTGCACCCATAGGACCAAATCTCCCCTCAGCCAGTGCTGGAGTAAAAGGTAAGGAATTTGGTATCCTACATGCTCTTGGTAGCTTGCTGTGCCTTCTTCCGTTTTTTTTGCCTTTTTCTGTCCAAAAGAAACAAAGAAACAAACATACTGAAGACCAGGCTTGGTGCTGGAGGAGTAGACACTCAGGCAGGCTCAGGATTCAGCTGCTGCAGGAGCGGCTTCACTTTCGCAAGGCTGCAGAGAAGCTGATGGGCTCCAGGGGGCGCAGGTGATCCACCTGTACCCCGTAGATCGGAGAGGCAGGACCTGGGGCTGCTCCTCCCAGCTTGTCCCATTGTTCTCTGCTCCAACTTCGGGACTTGCACATGGCCCCTGAAGACTGCTAAAGTCCAGTCCTCACTGCAAAGTCACTATTTCTGCTCTCCAACCTCACATTTTACAGAAACAAGTCTGACTGGCCTGTTGGTGTTTTTAAATGAGGCCTCAGAGATGGGTGTTTGGTCTATGGGTATGCCTCTGGTTGGGACACTCACGGCCCCCGTCAGTGTATTTGAGTTCAACTCCTGGCTCTGGCTCCTGACTCCAGCTTCCTGCTATTATATAAAGCCTGCGAGCTCACTGTGATGACCCAAGTAGTTGAGTTTCTGCCACCCATTGGGGAGACCTGGATTGTGTTTCCTGCTTCCTGCTTCAACCCCGCCTGGCCTGGCCTGGCCCAACACTGGCTGTTGAAGACATTTGAGAAGTGAACCAGTAGATGGGATCTCTCTCTGCCTCTTAAATAAATTTAAAAACAAAGTCAAAACAGGTCCCAAGTGACACGTTACTGACAGCCTATCGGTTTCTCTTGGCTGGATTTTTAGTGATGGCTTTAGGTAGTTGATTTTTGTTTGTTTTACTGTATCATTTTGTATTGCTTTAATGATCACAGAACACGTAACTTTCCAGAGTCTGCTGAGGATGCATGTCCTACCACTGAAAGTGGAAGGTAGACACTTTACCACTAAGATGTCCCTTGAGCCCTGCCTCTCCCACCTCCCTGCACCCTGGTATTGTAGCATGTATATGTGTTATCTCTAAGCACGTCAAAAAGATCCATCAGTGTATAACTTTTGCTTTCAACCATTTTACGTGTTTTAAAGAGGCTGAGACGATGAGAACTAGTGTGCCGTTTTCACCCAGGTATTTAGCATGTCTCTGCTTGCCGTTCACCAAGGTTGCAGCCGCAGGAGCCGGGCTGGCCTGGAGACACAGTACAGAGAGAACAGAAAGTAAACAAACAAAAATTGGATTTTTTTCCTTCTTATTCTTTCTGTACCTGTTTCTGCTTTTTTTTTGGACTGGAAAAGGCTTCTCTTGCACTTGTTTGTGATGGCAAGTGCCAGGATTTATGCTGATCTGGGGTCCTTGGAGCAAATTATAACGCAGGAAGCTCACCACTGGACCATTTGTACTTTCAGGTCGGCTTTGCTTCCCCAGTGTGCTTGCTACTGTGTACTTGGAGAATCCCCAGATAGCTGTTTTGTATTCTAATCAGGGTTTTTAGTTGTACCCAGTGAGAGGGACAGGGTGGAGTCTGCTTCCTCCATGTTAACCAGGAACAGAACATCCGCTGAAATTGCATTTCTGTAACTGTTGGAGTTGATGGTTTTCCCAGTGATCTTTTAATCTTCACCCCAACCCCCTACCTATTAAAAGGAGCTGGGGAGCCAAGTGTGCCATCTTGGTGCCAAATGGTGCCCGTCTCCCACTAGATCCTCCATGGCTCCAGGCTTGTTCTGAGCCCTTATTCTCGATGTGTTCTTATCCCTTTCAGCTGTCCAAAAGCAGTTACTCCCCCTGGTAGACCCATGTGCTGCCCTGCCCAGGCCAGCAGCAGCAACCCCAGGAAGAGGTGATTTGAAGACCATCCAGTGCCTCTGCTTGCCTGCCCCCAGCTGTCGCCCTCCATCGTGGACTGAAGTGTAGCATGGCCAAGTTAGAGAACAGGAATGAGACAGCATCTCTGCCGTTACCCCTGCTGGAGGCAGAAGCTTCAGGGAACTTTCAGATCATTGCACAGGTTGGGGGGACTGCACTGCGGAAGGGGCACAGGACTTCCAAGGCTGCTCAGCCAGTCCGTGGCCGTGCTGGGCCAGCTCCCCCTGCCTGCTTTCTGTACAGCCCCACAACGCACACCTACCCCAGTCCATCTAAAGCAGTATCACTCCCCATCCCCTTGCCTCAGCTTCAGTTCATTTCATCGCATTTATTCTTCTCAGGTATTACAGTACATATTTATTTGTTTGATCTGTTATCTGTCTTCCTGGTAGAATGTAAACTCCAGTAATTTTTTTTTTTATTTTTTGGGGGAAACAGAAAGAAAGAGAGAGACATACAGAGGGAAAGACAGAAAACTCCTAGATGGTTCTCTCCCCAGATGCCTGCAGTGGTTGGGATTGGGCCAGGCCAAAGCCAAGGGCCAGGAATTCAATCCAGGTCCCCCGCATGGATGGCAGGAACCCAATTACTTGAGCCATCACTGCTGCCTCTCAGGAAGTTTAACTTCTAACAAAATGCCCACCCCTCTGTGAGTCCCTTTTATTCACCACTCAATCTCTCACCCCAAAAGGATCTAGCACTTGGTAGACACTCAGTGCATATTTGCTATATGGATGCATGCATTTGTATTGGCTAGATGCTACCACAAAATTCTGTAAAAGAGCCAAGCAACCGACCTTGGCAGCACTCAGCAGTAAGCACCGATTCGACTCAAACATCTGGAAGTTGGCTGGCGATGGGCAGATCTAGGCCAGGCGTGGCTAGGGTGGCTGCATTTGTTCCTTGTGCCCCTCTCCTTTCGCCTGGGGAGCAGCCAGCCGGCCTGGATGTGTTCTTCCTGTGCAGGTGGCACAACCAAGCAGAGCGTGCTGAGCTACAGGCGTGCTTTGCAAGCCTCTGGCTGCCCCTTATCTGTTAACATTCCATTGGCCAAATCAAGTGACAAGGCTGAGCCCAGAGTCAGGCAGGCGTAGAAGGGCCGAAGGGCCAGCACCCTGCGCCTGCTGGAGGGCACAGCAGAATCACAGGGCAGAGGGAATGGACGCCTCGCCCTGTCGCTGGGGACCGGGTGCAGGATTGGAGCGATGAACTTGTCCCCCCACAGAATTAAAACTCTGCTTTCTGATTTTATAACTTTCCTGGATACACTGAACCTTCAAGTGGCCGCATTTCCACTCACTGGAGATGGATCCCTGGGCCCCTAGGTGGGTGGTGACTCCCCTGAGCCCCGGCCTCTTTGTGAGTGTTCACGCCGAGCAGTGTCAGCTTCCAGTACCCAGTGCCACCGGTGGTGTGACATGGGTGTGATATTACGTTTTTAATGGACCTCCCCTCTCCTCTCATTTCAGGGACAGCTGGCATGGCTGGAGATGTAATTGCCACCAAAATTGTCGAGCTGTCCAAAAAGAACCGGCTGCTGATGGCAGAGTCGGAGGGTGCGAAGACCAGGGTGAAGCAGCTGACCAGTCGCATCCAGGAGCTGGAGCGGGAAGTGAGGGGCCTGGCCTTTCTTCCTCTGGAGGGGATTCCCAGCACCTGGGGCCACCCCACCCCCAGAGGGGAAACCACAATTAGGTGCTTTGGGTCCTCCTGCAGGGCGTGTGGGTCCAGTATGCCGCCAGTTCCTCAGTCCTTGTATTCTGAGAGGGGACAGTGTGCTGGGGAGCACGGGGAACACCGGTCCCTATGCAGCCTGGCCTAGCGGTTAGGGGAAAAACCTGGAACCTGGTGGCCTGGCCTTGACTCCTGGCTCCATCACGGACTTGCTCAGTGTCCCTGAGTAGCTCATAAACTCTCAGTGTCTCAGTTCCTCCCCTTGTCACACAGGGGGAGAAGAATAGCCCCTCTCAGGGTTTATAAGTATTAAGAGAGTTAGCATCACAAAATGTTCCAAATGGCACTTGCACTAGAGAAACATTTGCTGGAGAAATTCAGAGATCTTTGCTAATTTGAAGCCAGGACCAGAAATGTCAGTCTGCTTGCCGTCCGTGTAGCTCTCCAGTGGAGGGAAGGCACAGTCAAGTGGTCATGACCCTGTAGGAGTTCTACCAGAGCTTGTGTGCTAGGGGGGCCCACGTAGCTTTCCCTTATGAGGCCTGAGGAGAAGGAGAGCATTTCTCAAGTCGTACACTGTGTGCTGGTGCTGGACTGCCGATCCCATTCTGTCACCCTCTGAAACCCACCCCAGTCTTCAATCTTGGCATTGACTTAGAGCTGCTTTATTCTATTATGTATTTAAAAAAAAAAAAAAACCATCTCAGGTTTTGTGCCAGACCCTGGGGAGACCGAAGGGAACAAATTAGGCACGGTTGGTCCCTGCCCTCCTGGGGGACAGACCAACATAGAAACTGTGACATGGTTATAAACCGTGACAGAGGAATAGGGGTTGATGGGTTCCTGGAGAACATGTAGGGGCCAGACTCAGAAACGTGGGAGAGCAGTGTGACCAAGAGCAGAACAGGGTGGGGTCAGAGAGATGGGAGGGTGAGTATGGTCTTGGTGTGGAAAATGATCAAGAAACCATTAAAGGGTCAGTAGGCCAGCTCTCGACAGCATTCTCACCTGCGAGGCCATGAGCCAGTGTGGCGGGCGTCCCTGTGCCTCTGACCCTGTCTCCTGGTCTGTAACCCCAAGTACGTGATTCCTTTATTCTCTGCCCCCCTAGGCAGTTGTTAGAGCTCCAGGAGACAGGTTATGGCCACAGCGTCCTTGTGTATTAAGCTCTTAGTGAGTCCTGAGGCCGCTTCTCACGGTGCAGCTGGGGGGTGGGGCAGACAGTCAGCTCTTTTGTCGGCTGGCAAAGGAGACTCCTTCCTTTAATGATCCTAATAGGAACTGAAAGGACAGACCACCAAGTTGGGTGACCACACAGCCAGCGGGCACCCTCGCACCCCAGCTGGGCGGCACACTTGCCGAGCAGGGTTTAATATTAAATATGAGCTTTGCTTTTGCAGCTGCAGATGGCACTGGCCAGGCTGCCCACCAAGGGGGCCACCGACACAGGAGCCAAGGCACCGAGGGCCCAGATGGGAGACAAAGCCTTGGTATGAATGCTTGTCTGCTGGGGAGTCTGTAAGGCCGCCATGGGCCTGGGAGCATAGGCACCTGTGCCTGGGCTCTACCCACCCCCACCCCCATTGGCGAGCCTGGTGCCCACTGTCTCACTGCAGCATCCGCAGAGCAGCCTTTGCTCCGGGAGCAGCACCAAGCCAGGGGGCCGAGGCCATAGCAGAGACCAGGCTGGGTCTAATTCAGTCCAGAGACAAAGGGAAGGAGGCCCAAAGACCCTGAAACACCAGAACCTCAGCGGCAGGAGGGAAGCCTGTCCCAGACAGGCCTCCTGCTCTCAGCCCAGCCAGCCCCTTCAAAGCATGCTCTCTGGGGCAGACAACTGGCTCCTACCCCGCAGGCAGGCAGCTCCCCACTGCCCGAGAGCCCTGTCCTGTGTGGCTCAGGCCGTGTTGGGAGGAGTTCTCAGATCCACAGAGTAATAGTGACTCCAGGGGTGAGGGTTGTTCCCTACATGCAGCGAGCAGTCTCTGAACCCAGAAGATAGGACCAGCAGCTCCGAGAGAGGAAGGTGTTCGGACCCAGTGGGCTGCCGGTGGCACACAGCCCGAGTCAGACGATGGGCAGCCCGGGAGGCTGCACCAGGGATTTTCTCGGGGCACCAGGCCAGCTGGTGACAGAGGGAAGCAAGCCCCAGATGATGCTGGAGCCCCATCTCCCCTGTTGCCTGCACCTCTGGATCAGGCTGCCCCAAGCTCGTCCCATGGAGAATTGAGTCCTCTGGGTGTGCTGTGGGTCCTGGGATTCCAGAGATGGCTCTGTCTCCTTGAGGTCAGCCTCAGGTAAGCCTGTCTCGTTGCTGGGGAGGCAGGCACTGGACTGATCCTCTTCCGGGCCTTTCTGCCCCCAGGAGCTCAGCTGCCCCCGGCTTATCCCAAGCATTTAGGGCCTCCATGTCCCTGATTAGAGCTGCCCCAGTGGGACACCCCTTGTTCAGACACTCACTGGCCTGATGGCATTTTTCTGAGCCCTGTGACATAGAGAATCAAAAACAGAGCCCCTGTCCCCAGGAATCCAGGAGGGGAGATGAGGAGCCATTGCAGATGGGGCCTTCAGGGAGAGCCCCAGAGTCCTGAGTGTGCAAAGGAACCTGCCCTCCACTGTCCACAGCGAGAACCAGGGGTGGAGAGGAGCCGTCCTGGAGGAGGACAGGGCAGGGACTTTGGGGAGCATCAGTGTGAGTGAAGACCTAGAGGCCAGGAAGCACTAAACATGCCCATCCCAGTTGCTTTTCTGGGTAGAACCTGGATCACACTTGGCTGCAGCCCCTAGCCCATGGTAGGGAAGAGGGAAATGCACACCAGAAAAATCTGGGGTGGGGTCACCCACAGAGGGAGGCCTTGGGTAGCCACTGGCACAGGAGTTCTGACAATTCTGTGAATCCGGGAGGTTCCTCATGGGAAGAGTGCATGTGGGCTGCAAGTCTCATTGGCCCCTCTGATCAGGTGGTCAGGCTTCAGGGCAGCACTGGCGCAGTCTGCTCCCCTTGGATGGCTTCTCAGTTATTCCCTCAAAGAAAATAGCTCAGGCTGGAGTCGGGGCGGGGTGCCTGCACCCAGGTCCCCAGTAAAGCCTATGGAGTTGCACTGTGGGCAGAAAGAACTCTAAAATGATTGAGAGGAAGGGTTACCCAGCTGCCCAGGCTGGGGGAAGAGGGATGGGGCACCTTGCATCACCCCCTGTCAGAATCTGCCGCGGACAGCAGCCTTTGGGCGTCATCCTACCATCCCTCACAGTACCCTGGGTGTCGGCGTACATGTCGCCATTTTACAGATGATAGAAGGCTAGGAGAGGGATCGTTGCCCATGTTCCAGATCTAGCTCAAACCCATGTGCTCGTCCCACGCTCTGGGTGGACAGAGTGTCTGGGAGGTGGGGCACCCACAACCCCCTGCAGACACTCCACTCTGTAGCCTTGGCACGTTTCCGCACATGTGGGCATGGCACCCTAAGCTCAGGGCTCAACCCTGAAAGTGCAGCTGCCGGGATTCGAGCCCATGTGCCACCTTCCCCCACCAGGGTGCCCAAGCCACCAGGACTTACCTCCCTCCAGCCTCCACTGTGCATTGCTAGAACCTGCACCGCAAGGGTTAGTGAGGACTCAGTGGCTCATCCCACGTCCAGTGCTTAGCTCAGGGCCCGGCGTGTAGCTGGGTGAGCAGGGGCTGCTGCTGTCATCACTGTGCAGGCGACAAAGTGACCGCTTCCTCTGCTGTCTTTCCCGAGCAGCTGGAGACCCCAGAGGTGAGAGCCCTGCAGGACAGGCTGACGGCCACGAACCTGAAGATGAGCGACCTGCGCAACCAGATCCAGGCCGCGAAGCAGGAGCTCCGGATAGCCCAGAAGGTCTTCCAGAGCCAGGGCTCGGGGCTGCCCGGTGGGCCCTGTCCTGGAGCAGGCAGAGCGTGGCCCCTGGGCATCGTGCGGGCTCTGGGTCAGCTCCAGGTCCCGTGGCCTGTGATGAGGCAGCGGGGAGGTGGTCACAGGCTCTTGTGGTGCTGCCCAGCTCTGGAGTGAGGAGGACGGTGCCGTGCACCCAGGGAGAGCTCTCCAAGCCTGCCCCGCACCGTCCGGGTCCAGAGTAGATCATAGGCCTCCACTCAATAGGGCGCCTTTGACCAGACGCCTACCAAGACCTGCCCCCTGCCTCTGCTGTCTGTCACAGCAGAAAACCAAGAGGTGGTTTGTATATTAAAGGCCCCCTTCAAAGGAGAATGCTCAGACTTGGGACACAGGCCCGGCTGGTTTGTTATTTATTTGTATTTACATACTGAATTCTCTGGCATTTGTCTACCCTGTGGGAACCATTGAGCCTGGCCAAGATTCCCAAAACCAGTGTCCTACTGTGCAAACAGGCGCCAGAGAGGGGTACTCTGGATCGGGTTCGGGCCAGCCCCAGAGGGCTCTGAACACCGCACTTCGGCCACCATGGAGCTGAGCCCTCCTCGAAGCACAGCAGCCTGGTCGCCATCTGCTAATCCCCCTCCCGGCCGCGCCCGCGCTCACGTGGCCGACTTGGCAGTGGCCTTTTCATGGAGGGCAAGGCCCAGCGGCCATAAATATCTTGTCACCATCCAGCTTGACCTCAGTTCTAGGTGACAGGTGATCAGGTTCAGGAAGCAGGTGTTGGTCGGCTTTGAGGCACTCACCCCAGCGCGTGTCCAGATCTAGAGTCTCTGGGCATTGCTGGCAGTGCCGTGGCGGCATCTAGGCATGCTGGGGTGATGGGCTTGCTCCTTTCCCGAAGACCAGCCCTTACAACATGGGCAACTGGTCCTTGAGGGCTGTGCCCTGAGTGGGAGGGAGGCCCTGCTGGCAGCCGGCCCTGCTTCTGAGCACCCAGCAGGATTCAGGGTCTGCTGGAGCCTCCCTCCTGGCCACACTGATGACCCTGCCTCATTTCAGGTCTTGGCCAGCGAGGTTGGGGAAGACGTGAATGTACAGCAGCTCCTGTCCTCGCCAGGCACCTGGAGGGGTCGGGCTCAGCAGATTCTCGTGTTGCAGAGCAAGGTGAGTGAGTCGCCAGACATCTGGGCCCTGGACAGAGGGGCTTCCAGTGCCCCCCTCCCACCCTGGTAAGACCTGCCCTGCCTCACCCGAGAGACGTGCGCCCACAGAACCCTGCGAAGGCCTTAGGTCCTGCAGAGCCCTCTGGTAAGGCTGCTGTTTCCCATTCTCCCCAGCCAGCCTGGTTTTCATTTGCTGTTCAGTGAACAGGCACTTATATAACACTTACCACATGCCAGGCACTGGCCCTCCACCAGTGCCAACGCCTTTGGTTTAATTTATGTGACTCCAGGCAGTCCCCCCTCCCCCCCACCCAGTCCATGTAAATTTGCGTGACCATTATGATGGGAGGCTTTTTCCAGTCCTCTCCAAATGCTTGCCGTTCTCGTAACCCAGTGAAAACGTAGCCTCGTCTCCTTCTTTGTTTTCTAAATATTTGGGAGAGAACCCAAAGAGGCTAAGAGCAGGGCCTCCAGAGCCAGGCTGCATGGATTTCAAGTCCCAGCCCTCCCCTGCGCACTGTGGGCCCTCAGGCACGCTGCTGCCACTCTGTGCCTCCGTGTCCTCGTTTGTGTGATGTGGACCTGCCCCGGGGGTGGCTGGGCAGATTGAGGCGGTCAGTGGTCAATGCGTAGCAAGTGCTCCGTGGAGTGCCTGGCTTGCTGGCCTGGAGAGACAAGGGTTGGCTGTGGCTTGTCCCGGTTCCTCACACTGAGAAACACAGGGGAAGGTGTGTGAGCTCCACTCCGTGCCAAGCACATCGCCTTCATTCCCAGGGCCTTAGTGGTTACGTTCCTGGTGACTTCAGTCCACTGGGTCTGCTGTGGGATCCCTGAGGCCAGCACAAAGCAGGGAAATCGCAAAGGCAAGCAAACAAAAGCTGTAATTGATGGTGCCCAGTATATGGCCTTGGGGTTCAAGAGACCCAATAAGTTTCAGCCTGGTCTTTGTCACTGGACCTCGGGCAAATCATCTCATCTCCTTGTGCCTCGGTCTTCTCACCTGTGAAATGGGGCTGGTCACACTTTTTCATCGGGTTGTTGTGGGGTTAAGTGAAATAATGTCTGTAAACCACCCAGCACAGCGCCCGGCTGTAATAAGCTCTCTGCACATTGGATATTCTTGTTAGGAGGTTGAATGTTTAAGGATTCAAGTATGAACTCGTGTTGGTGGACACTTAGATGGCATCACCACACAGCACCACACGAGGGCACTTTTAGGTGTTTTCCAGGCCAGTCTCTGCCCTTGGCAGGTGAGCCCAGTGAGGGCACCTCCTCTCCTGCTCAGGTTTACCCACTGTCTCCCATCACTTGGTTGTGCCGACACGGAAATCATGAGAACAAGGCTCTTAGGCGTCCCCGGCTAAAACCCCAGTGTGGTCAAGCCATTGTTCTCTCTGCCATTTGCCGAGAGCCCGTGTGTGCTAGGCTCCGTGTTGAGGGCCTCACCCGGGGCATCTCGGGATTCCTCAAGTTGCCTAACCCTAAAAATCACCCATGAGGTTTGATTAAAATGCATATTCCCAGGCCCTTTGCCCTGGAGCTTTGATTTCTGGGCCCCAGAACTAGTCATTTCTCGGGGCTTGGGGAGGTCTTCCAGGCTCAGACCAGTATGGGATGCAGAGTCCTCCCAACAACATTACACAGAGTATGTTGAGCCCATTTTACAGACTAGGGGACTGAGACACAGAGAAGTTAACAGCACAGGCACACAGTCCATGAAGCTGGGAGCCAGTTTCTCAGCTTCCGGGCCCCACTCTCCCTCTGTAATAGTTCATGTGAATGTTCCCCTTCCCCCCCCACCCATCTCCCAAGGAACACCCTCCTGCTGCGTCTTGGGTGATCCGTTAGCGCCAGCTTCCTGGTGCTGAGACCTGCTGTCCTAGCCACACATGGCCCCTCGGAGCTGGGGTGTTGTCTGTTCCCCGTTTCTCTCAAGAAGCCGACTCCGACCGTCCCACCACAGTGCTGCTCGTGTGGGGCCGCCACCATCTCGAACAGTGGTTCAACCTCAGTCTCGGTGGGTCTCCCACGGCACCTCAGAGTGGCAGCGTCCGTGACTGTTGCCCGCGAACCATGAGCTTCATTGCCCTCAGGTTCGAGAGCTGGAGAAGCAGCTGGGCCAGACGCGGAGCCGGTCGGCGGGGACCACCAGTGATGAGCTGTCTGCCTGCTCTGACCCAAGGAAGCTGTCGGCACAGGAGAAAAACCTGCTGAGGATCCGCAACCTGGAAAGGGACAAACAGGAGAGCTGGGAGGTACCCGTGCTGGGAGGAGCTCAGAGGGTGGTGGGCGTGCCTGGGGGCCTCTGAGACTGTGGGCGGATGCTGGAGCCCGCCCTCCTGGGCAGGAGGCAGGGGGCACCTGTGTGCATGCTCCTCCCGTCCTGCCCCCCCAGCCTGGGGCCTCCCCCTGAGTCCATTGCATCAACTGTGGGTGGCCCCGTGCTGGGTGCTGGGGAGGTGCTGTCGCTGAAATTCCTCGTACCAAGGAGGGGCAGGGTCACAGCCCTGAGAGGGGTGATGGGGTTAGGAGGTATGGGGGCTGCTGAAGGAGATAAGGGGGATGCACTCAGCACCAGGGGCTGCCCCCTCGCTGGCTGGATTGAAAACATCCCAAGTCTAACTCTTCCGGGCTCAGGCCCTAAGCAGAATGAATGGTCTGGTGGTGGTCAAGCTTCAGGCTTTACAGGTAGATCCAGTGATTTGGGAGTCTTGGTGTCGCCCCCACTTTCTCCGGGTTGGCTCCACTCCCTCCCAGGGGGACCCCTGGTGGTCCCAGCTTCTATCCTCTAATCCTGCACCACCTCCTACCACCAACAAGGGCTTAGAACCAACAAAGTCCCAGAGTGGAGCATCATGGTTCTGGCTTGGGTCGTGTGCTCATCCTTGAGCTGATCGTTGTGGCTAAGGATATACCAGGTGCTTTCTTGGCTACGCTTCAGATACTGGGCCCCCCATGTCTAAGGAATGAGTCAGCCTCCCCCAGCTTGAACTGAGAGTGGGAAGGAGGGACCCTCCCCCTCAAAGAAAGTAGCAGGAGAAGGTGCTGGCGGGCTGAACAACAGGCCCGCTTGAGTGGCCCTGGCAAAAGGCTTCCCAACAGTGAGGCTTGGCCTGTTTATCAGGAGACTCTGTTGTGAAAATCACCCCATAGTAGCTCCAAACATTCTAGACCATCAGGTGTGCGGAGGGAGCAGGGAGATGGGAGAGGTAGGCAGGGCAGGTCCTGTAGAACCCTCCGTGTCAGCCAGGGGCTCTGGCTGTTCTCAGGAAGGCAGTGGAACCACCAAATAGTCTCCACTGTGGAAAGACATGTTGCGCCGTGCATTTGCGGAAGATCACATGGGTTGGGGGTGAGAGGGTTGGAAGACTCCTGGGCACTAATCCGCTTGAGATGTGACCAAGAGACTATAGCAGGACAGTAGGCCTGTAGCAGAAGGGCTGGACACCTGTGACAGAGGGTGGACCTTCCGGGGCTCAGTCACCAGTAAGAAATGGAAGGGAGCGGAGTAGGAAGAATTCTGGAGGATTGCCAGGGAGTGCGCTCAAGGGTGGAAGGGGGATTGCAATTTGGAAAGGTTGGGCTTGGAATGCACCCGGCTCGGACTTGCACAGCCACGCAGAAGAGAGCAGCGAATGCTGGAACGGTTGGACTGACGGTGAGCCACCATGGCGGGGAGCAGGAAGTGATTTCCTGTGCCCACCGGAGCCTGGAGTGCGTCCACGGCACAGCTCTGACTGCCTCCCACAAAGGGCTCCTGGTCCCGCGGATTCATTGCATCTCATTCATTTTGCGTCTCCATCGTTCACTTCAGCGAGGGTCTGAGCACTTTTCCAGCAAGAGCCAACCCTCAGGATCAAGGCGGATGAAGTCACCCTGCACCCCCACGTACACACTGTCAGAGAGTTCACCTCTGCCCCCATCACGGGTTGTAGCTCTACCCCGAGACCTCTCGTCTCCCCCTCCTCTCCTTCAGACTGCCCAGATGTCCCCCAGAGAAGGCCTCCCTGACCACATCCTCCCCCCCCCCCCCCACTTTTCAGTGAGCCTGTGTGAACCTTCCTGAGAACAGCCAGAGCCCCTGGCTGACACGGAAGGTTCTACAGGACCTGCCCTGCCTACCTCTCCCATCTCCCTGCTCCCTCCGCACACCTGATGGTCTAGAATGTTTGGAGCTACTATGGGGTGATTTTCACAACAGGCTCCCCCCCCCCCTTTTAATTGATCTGAAAGGCAGAGAGAGAGAGATACCTCCCATCTACTGTTGCACTCCCCAGTTGCCTGCAACAACCAGGACTGGGCCAGGCTGAAGCCAGGAGCCCCAAATTCATTCCAAGTCTCCCATTGGGTGTCAGGGACCCAACTCCTTGAGCCTTCCCCTGCTGCCTCCCAGGGTGCACATTAGCAGGAAGCTACAGCCTGGACTCTGACATGGGATGCTGGTGTCTTAACCTCTAGGCTGAGTGCCCAGCCCCTGCATTTGCCACTTGTGAACAATGTCTGTCTCCCCTGCTGGAATGCCAGCTCCTGGGTGACAGGGCTCTGCTTTGTTCTGAGCTGTACCCCAGCACTTGTCAGAGTGCCAAGCACTGGAAACATGACAGCAAAAAGGACTGAATGAGCGAGACTGCAAAGGCATGCGCATTGTGCGAGTTTCCTGCCTGTGGCCAACCAGGCCAGGCGCACTGTGGGGCGTGGTGCTGAGTGGTGGCAGTGGAAGTGGCAGGCGGGGGCTCCCTTCTTTCAGCTCCTGGTGGAGAGAGGCTTCGTTTGATCCCAGCACTGAAGACGGCGTTTCTCTTTCCCGGGATGTGTTGAGGGGTGGGGCTGGTGTACTCTTGGGAGGACACAGCCTGAGGCATGCCCGGGAGCTGATGTACAAGGTGCAGTCATGCTCTGTGCTGTCCGGCGTCACGTGCTGGGGCCAGGGCGGGAGCTGCAGGCGCCTGACATCCCCGAGAGGCCTGGGCTGGGCGTCAGAGCCCCAGCTCTACTGACCCTCTCTGTGCCCTTCGACAAGCGGCCCTACCTGTCCCCAGGGCCTCTCCCATCTGGGAGCTGGGGCCAGAGGTGGCCAAAGCTCCCTTGGCTGCTACACCCTCACTTTCTTTCCCCAGAAACTTGCTAATGAACGGAACACGCTGCAGAGAGACGTGGAAGAGCTGAGAAAGAAGTTCGAGGGCGTGAGTTCTCGGAACAAGGTGCTGTCGAACGAGGTGAAGACCCTGCGCGGCCAGCTGGGGACGCTGGCAGAGAAGGGCAGGCACGACGACGAGCTCATCGACGCCCTGTTGGTATGGCCCGGCTGGAGGCAGCACAGGGACTGGGTTCCTGGGCCCGCGCAGAAACCTGGGGCCCAGCCCCAGCCACAGTGCCCTCACTCACCCTGCAGTGCCACCCACCTGGGGGCCAGGAGCAGCTCACTGTGAGGTCTGTGAGGTTGGCAGTGCTGGGTGCAAGCCACAGGCCTGTGGACCCCCAAAGGAGGTGGGAAGGAGATGGGAGCCCTCTCTGGGTTAGCTTTTAGGAAGGGGTAGAAGGGACAGCCAAGGGACCAGGACAGCTTCCTGTCTGTTGATGGCATTGGGCCCCTCCCCTTCTGGGTACTTTATCATGGGGAGGCCTCAGGACGCCTCCTGGGGTTCCGTGTTGTAAACCCATTCCACAGACGGGGGCACCAAGACTCTCACTGGTTAGGTAACTCATCCAGAACCGCACGGCTAAGTGCAAACCAGGCTTGGCCAGCCACTTACCCCTTCACTGACCTGCAAGCCCACACTGTGTTCCGGACCCCACAGCCCAGCCTTTTCTCTCTGGGGCCCGAGGTGCCCCAGCATGCAGTGTCTGAATTCCAGGCTGTGCCCATAACACCAGGGGTGGTGCTTGGGAAAGTCGGGCCAGCTCAGCTACCCACCTCATCTGTAATGATTCCAGATGGCAGGGCGAGTGAGACAGGCCTGCCACCTCACCGCATGTCCCTGGGCCAGCTGCAAATCCTCTCTGAGCCCCAGCAGCCAGTTTTTTAAACAAGACGCAGGGCTGGGTGCCCTCCTAGGTCCTTGCATGCCACCCCCCTTTACACTGGATGGGGCACAATTAGAGCTGCACCCTAGCCACGCCGGTCACCAGCAATGTGTGTGCCCACAGCCTCTCTGCGCCTTGCTTTCTTCCCGCCCATTCCTGATCGCCAACCTCGTGCCCCCTGCTGGCCCCCAGGCAGGCAGCCTACTTGCAGGCATTTCCAGAGGACGGAGCCTCACTCAAGGGAGCCGCGCTCTGCCTGCAGGGTGGGTCTCCCAGCAGGAGAGGGTCAGGCTTCTGTCCTACCAGGGGTTTCCCCCACCAGTAAAGAGCCGCCTCTGACCTCTGTTGTCCCTGAGAACCCCGTGCAGGGAGAAGGAAGTGGAGGACGGAGGCAGGCCCGTGCTCCTGCTCCTCCAGGGAATGGTCAAGTCACACTGTTAGGCTCCTGTGAGCCCAGGGGGTGGGTGGGTATCTGCCCTTGCCCCTCCCTGCCTGAGGGCCATGGCTGACCCCTGCCTGCCCTCCTGCTTGGCCTCCCCAGAACCAGCTCAAGCAGCTGCAGGAGATTCTGGGCAGCCTGAGTCTGCAGGAGGAAAAGACACGAGCGTCACAGCACAACCGGGACCAGAAGCTCAATAGCGAGGCGCAGCGGAGCAGCAGCCTCGTGGCCCAGCTGCGGGCTGTGGTGGCTGAGCGGGAGGCCAAGGTGCGCCAGCTGGAGCTGGAGATCGGGCAACTCAGCGTGCAGGTGAGGAGGGCGCCCGCATGTGCTGACAGGCTCACCGGCTGAGAAACCTCAGGCCAGGACACATCCCTCCTGGCTGCACCTCACTCCCCAGCCTATTCTGTGCACACCTTTCCTGCTGGGCACGCAAACCTGGTAGTGTCTCCATGGCTTCCTGCCACCCTCATCAGCCTCACCCAGCCCTCAAGGATCCAGACTCTGTCCAGCTCACCTTCTCCCATCCCCAGCTGTGGCCTTCACCCCTCATGGTCCAAGAGGGTATCCAGGGCTCCAGCCATTGCATCCACATTCTAGGCAGGACCAAAACCACACTTCTCCATCCAGAACACCACCTGACTCACTCTTGCTGCCACCCCTCCCTCATCCCCTCCACCCTGCACTCAGGCCGCAAGGACACTGGCTCCTCACATGCTCCTGGCGTCTCCTCGCTCCAGGCCTTCCCCTCCCTGTCCACCAGCTATGTCTGGTCAGCTGCCCCTCAGCCTGTAGGTCTTGTAGTCATGGGCAGGACCCCTTTCTGTGCTCCGTGCCCCTCCTGGGTGCTCTCCTAGCTGCCTGAGCACCCCAAGCCAAACTTTTCTCACACCAGGAGGTCTTTGCCTGTTTCCTCCCCCAGACTCCCCTTGAGGAAGTGCAGACCGAGAGGCCCCCATACCTGGCCCCGGTCCAAGCACACAGTAAATGCTCATCTAACGAGAGGGCTCCTGAGCAGCTTTGTTCTCCCAGCTGCCTGGAGGCACAGCTGGGGGCCAGGCAGCTCCCGCTCCCTGGGGCTCCCGCTTGTGGAGGCCGTAGCAGTGGAGGAGGTGAAGGGAGGGGAGCCGGCAGCCTCTGGGGAGAAGGCTTCCGTGACAGGCACACAGGTCTCCAGGGGCACGGGGCCTCATGGCCCCTCATCCACAGGCAGACTAGCTGTGCAGCCAAGGGCGGACCCAGAGCAGCCTCACCCTTTGCTTCCTGGCATCTGTGGGCTTCCTAGAGGAGTGGGAGCCCAAGAGGCCCGGGCCTAGCCACAGGCTGGCACTGGCTGGCCAGCCTGCTTTGTCCCACCTGGGACCACCTGTCCCACCTGGCCTTGGTGGAGACTGCTGAAGCCCCCTCCTCCTCCAGGACTGAGGGAGAGCCTGGGGCAGGAGGAAGGCCCAGGAAGCAGTCTATGTGGCAGTAAGGGGCATCGCCTTGCAGTGCTCACCCCTTGTTCTATCCCAGACCCACCAGAGAGGGGCTGGAAACTTCTAGCACTTTCACCTCACCCACTGCCCTTGCTCCAGGCACACAAGGAAGATTCGTCCTCCTTACAAGGCCACCAGCCGGCTGGGGGCCAAGCACTGCCCTTTAGACAAGTTGGCACACACTGCTGGTTTTCTCCCAGTGCCTGGGGCTCGGGACATGCCAGATCAGGGCCTCGCAGGTACTGTCCGCGGTGGCCTGACCTCCCGCTGTGGTCCTCCTTTAGGCCAGTGCCACCAGGTACCCAGGAGGAGCAGGGGCTGGGGGAGGCGAGGGGGCCTGGGCAGGCTGAGACCCCACTGCCCGCTGTGGCTCCAGGTATCTGGCAGGTTCAGGTGCTTCAGCTGATGAAGACAGCTGACCCCAGGGCACACCTGGCGCTCATCCACTCATGGGGGCTGCCGACCTGGCCTGCCTGCGTGCGTGCGTGCGTGGCTCCCGGTGGGACCCAAAAGTAAAAGAGCTTCCTGGCCCAGTGACTGCACTGAAGAGAGGCATTATTGGATGGCATTGTCATGCAAGGGCTGCCTTCAGGACACAGACCTCGCTTTCCACTCCTGAAAAGAAGCCTCTTTCATAGCCCCTGAAAGCCTGAGAGCCAGCCCAGGCCCCCTCCTCCCTTCTCCAGGCCTCTGAGCCAAAGCCCTGAGCACAGAACCCACGTCTGTGCCCTGCAGTATCTTCGGAGTAAAGAAGTGGGCAAGGAGTCCCACGGGCCGGAGGTCAGCGCCGCCAATCCCAGGCTCCTGGAGGACCCAGGCCTGACCAAGTCCCCGGCCTCCGCAGGTGATCACGTCGGCCGGCTTGGATCTTCTCGGTAAGGAAAAAGAATGGGCTGGAGGGGACTGGGAAGTGAACATTAATTATTCAGAAGAAAGGGCGTTTCCTGCCGCCCTGATGGGTGGGAAGCCACGCCTGCATGTTAACATAAGTACACCCCTCCTCCATTCTTCCATGTCAGAGCCTCTCCCATTATATTCCCGCTGCATCCACCGGAGTGAGCCAGTTAGGCCCAGACTTTCTTACTTCAGGAGCACATTGGCTGCTTGGCGCTCCCTGGCATAGCCCCTCTGAGCCAGCCTCAAAATACATCTGCCCCTTGGGTGGTTCGAGGCCCCACTTCTGTCTCATGTTGCACAAGCAAGAATTCGGGGGGAAGGGGGCAGCAAATCCTCAGGGGTGCCTGGCTTGGGCTGCCACGAGGGCCAGCAGTGGCCCCATGCTCAGCTCCCGGCCCCCCTGCTGGCCCCACTCTGCCTCACAGGAAGAGTGAGGCGAGGCCCAGTGGGGCCCGATGCCTTCCCGCAGTCATGGGCCCTTTCTGCCTTCGCACAGCTCTGTGACCAGCCTAGGCCACACGCTGGTGGAATCTTCTCTCACAAGGCCATCCCTGCCCAGTCCCCATGGGCCTTCATCCAGGTATGACCCCTGGGCCCTCGCAGTCCTTCCCATCCTTGATGGCTCTGCCAGTATCCTCATCCCGTTAGGAGCAGGTGAAGCATAAGGACGGAGGGGGTCAGGGTAGTCCAGGGTCTTGTCCAAGGTGATAAAGTAAGCAGCTTCGGAACGAGAAATCTTGGCCTCTGACTCCCTGTCCAGTGTCCCTCCCTGCTACCAGGGAGTTAACATGAGAAATCTTCCTGGGCCTGGCTTCCAGAAACTTCCCTTGCCATCTCTTGCTCTCTGAGAATCAGGCTCCAGGGGGAGAATTTCAGGTCAAATGGGTTCCTACTTGAAGTCACGGATATCCCCCTCAGCTCTCTGGCTCCCTCTTTGTTGATAGAATCAAGCCTTGGGGCTTAATGGGCCCTTTGTTCTCACTGCCAGCTTCTAGACAAAGGGTAGCTTTGTCCTGCCCCTGAGCCCTATCCCAAGCCCTGCCCCCTGTCCACTGGAGCCGTGCTCCTGCCATCAGCACCGCACCTGACCCCTCGGGCAGGTCAACTCAGGTTCCCAGCACGAGGCCTCTGAGTGGCCGCAGTCCCACTTTGGGCTCGCTCTGTGGCTCCAGGCAAGCAGTCTCCCAGCGAGCACTCAAGGCGCTTGCTAGCTTGCCATTTGGCAGCACAGAGACCCTGGGCCGTGGCCAGCCCTGCAGCTGCCCCACCCTATCAGGCTGGGGTCACAAGGGCATGTGGGGGAGAGTGGCTGACACTGAGCTCCAGGGCACGTGCCACACTGCTGGGGGTGTGGAGGCCTTGTCACAGCACAGGGAGACGGGCAGGCTGTCTCTCTGAGGCTCTCTTCCCAGGAGCGGGAGCGGGGAGGAGGGCACAACGTCCCTTCAAGTCTCTTCCAGGCTGATAAAGCTGTGACCTCTGTGCTCCACAGGGACACAGGAGCTGCCCACACTGCCGGCTCTCCAGCTTCTTTCTTTTTTTAAGTTTTATTTTATTTATTTGAAAGAGTCACAGAGAGAGGTAGAGACAGAGAGGTCTTCCATCTGCTGGTTCACCCCCCAGATGGCCGCAACAGCCAGGAGCTGTGCCGATCCAAAGCCAGGAGCCAGGAGCTTCCTCCGGGTCTCCCACGTGGGTGCAGGGGCCCAAGGACTTGGGTCATCTTCTACTGCTTCCCCAGGCCACAGCAGAGAGCTGGATTGGAAGTGGAGCAGCCGGGACTAGAACTGGCGCCCGTCTGGGATGCCGGCGCTTCAGGGCAGGGTGTTAACCCACTGAGCCACAGCACTGGCCCCATCACCGGCTTATTTCTTGCACAGCACACAAGTAGTGGCCGAGCTCAGCCATGTGTGGGCCCTTGCCTCGTGGACCTTATGTCCCCTTTATTGGTGACAGGATAGAAGTTCCAGCAACAAGAGTGATCCCAGAGCATATAGGAGACGTCAGAAAGTTTGGGAAAATGGAATGGAATGATAAGTTTATTTGTCTGCAAAAAAATTTTTACATAATATGCATTTTCCATGAACTTTTTGAAGACCCCCTAATGTATCATTAGGACTGGCACAGATTGAACCCACTACCTTCAGGTGACCCCAATGGGGTGCCTGGGATTCAAGTGGGGGAGGGAGTCAGCCCCCTTCCTGCTGCTCCCCCTCTCCCCACAGTTGAGAATGGTGGAGGTGACTGGAGAACTTTCCAAACTGCAGCCTGCACACAAATGGCCTAGGGCCCTGCCAGGTTGGTTGCAGGCTCTGATTCTTCTGTGTTTCTAACAAGGTTCACAGTGATGCATGGCCACTGACTCGGAGACCAGGCTTTGAGCAGCAAGGCCTCAGAGCATATGAGGAGCCAGAGCGAGCCGAAGTCTGCAGTCCTCAGGGCCCACCTCACCCAGCCCGCTTCGCTTTCAGAGGGAGACCTGGGGCCCTAGACAGGGAGAGATCTATCCAAGACCACAGAGCAAGTCAGCCTCTGGACCTGGAGGCTGCAGCCCAGCCTTTGGTGCACTGCCCCCTCCACAGGGTCACCCAGGCTGTCCCCCAGGCAGAGAGCACTGTTCAGGACTCGTGTGTGGGCTCCAGAGGGCTGGGGGGCAGAGCTCACCTTCTGTCTGGCCCCAGTCTGCAGGCAAGGGGCTGGTTGGCAGGCCTGGTGGCGAGGAAGGATGCGATGATGATGAGCTGGATCAGGGCTGGGAAAAACTCACCGGGTGTCCAGGCTCCATGAAAGTGGATGGGCCTGGTGCCAAGGCTGGAGACACAGTGAGAGCTAAGACAGGCTGGGAGGGACACAGTCTGAGTACCTCTGGCCCCCAAGAGCCAGCTTCTATAGCAGCCGGTCTAATCCCAGCCCCGCATCCCACCCTGGATTGGGTGGACAGAAGGCCCAATGCAACTCTAGGCTTGGCAGGGTCTGGCTCTGGAGCCAGCTAAGCAAGGCCAAAGGACTTCACCTGGGCCGGGAACGAGGTGGAAGCTGAGCGAAGAGTGCTTCCTTCTGTGTCTCTCTCAGAACCCTCGCAAGTCCATCTTCCCGTCCTTCCCATGGCCAAAGGGCTAAGTCCATGTCTTCAGGCTTCAGATGACCTCTGCCCTCTGCCCTCCACCTTGATCCCAGGTTCTCGGACTCTCCAGAGCAAAAAGGCTGGCAGGCACAAGTGACAGAGATCAAGGCCCTGTGGCAGGCTGCAGAGGTGGAGCGTGACCGGCTCACCGAGTTTGTCAACGTCCTGCAGAAACGGTAACACATGGTGTCTGGGGAGGCTCTTTCCACATGCACCTGCATGGGCTGGGGACTGGGGCCTGGGGCCAGCTGGGCTCCCAGAGGCGTTGGTCCAGGGCAGCCCCAGACATGACTTGGAGCCCTGTGATCTTGGGGCTTTGATTGTCACAGTGTGATCTGTCCCAAGGAGCAGCCCCATCCTATGTGCACTCATGTCACCTGTGTGACAATGGGACTGTCACATGGGATGTGGCCCTTAGGTGGGAACATCAGGAGAGAGAGCAGGTAAGTCATTCAGATCCACCCACCAGCAGCGCAAACCCCTGAGGGCCTGGCACCGTGCCCGGTGCTACTGGAAGACACAGGAGAGACTGACATCTGGAATTCCTAAGAGCAGGGCTGACGAGGAAGCAGAGACTTCCCTGGGGGTCAGGGAAGGAAGCGCGTGGCCTGGGCCATGGACTGGGAGGCACAGTTTCTCCAAAGGGCTGTTGACAGAACTCCACTGAGATGCATCAGCGCTCGCTCAAGCAACCCTTCTGGCAAGAATTGCAGGCGCCCAGGCCAACATGTGGCCGCACCGTATGGCCTCCGCACTGAAAGATGCCCTGGGCACCACTGAGTTTTGGCCTCAGCGGGCCGTATTATGCATCAGTCAGGGCTCTTGGACAACAGACAGTAGAAACCAGTTCTGGCTAGATGTTGGGGGAGGCAGGTTCTGTGAGGCGCTGGTAGACTCCAAGCGCAGGGCAGGAGCAGAACCCACGAAGATGCAGGGATCATGGTAGCAGAACCCTGAGCAGTGTCTCCTGGGCCCCTAGGGTGACACAGGCCCGGCGGCTTTCAGTTCTTGTGCAGAGGATTCTGGGAGAGAAGGCCCAGCTGGCCTGTGCTGCTCCCAAGTCCTTGCACCAGTGAGGCTGCTCTGACTGAAGTGGGAAGTTTGCCAAAGGGAAACCATTGCCGCAGGAGTTTGGGTGCTGAGAAGGTAAAAACAGGGAGAAGTGGTCAGCTTCCATGTTTTCTTTCCATGCATTGCATACAAAGGATCTGGATTTCAGATAAACAGGTATCTGAGAAAAGGAACATTTTTTTTTCCCCCTGTAATTGAAGCCTAACAGATGATGCAAGTCTGCAGTCTACCAAATGGCAGACACACCTCCACTTGGGGCTTTCGCTGGCATTTCCCTAGGGTGACGCACGATAAACATGTGACCTGACAAACCATCCCAGACTCACAGCCTCAGGCGCGGTAGTCGGTTCTTCCTTCTGCTCCCCATGGCCTCATCCAGCTGGCAGCTCAGCAGGCGCCTCTCCTCCAGGGGACCCGGTATCTTCCGGGGCGTCTCCAGGCAGGATTGGGATCACACCTGCCACTCCCTGTCCACAGATACCATTGTTGTTTGGATCCTCAGGTTCATTCTGTGGCGCTGTCCCAAGTCCATCAGATTGCCTTTTCCACCCAAGTATTGTCTCCCTGGGCTGCTTTAACTAGAAAGGGAGGCCTGGGCACCTTCTGTCCTCAGACCTGTCCCCCACCCTGACTCCCACCCCTGCCACACACAACCTATTTGGAATTCCATCCTAAAGTGCGGGGACTTCCTTTGTTGGAGTCCTCAGTATGGACTCCTTGCTTTATCTGTAGTCTGTCCCAGTCTTGCACAGGGAGAGGGTATTCTCTGTGTCACCTCTGCCTCTCCCCTACTCTGCCCTACAAATCTCAGCTGCCTCAGCCCCTCCCCTGCCCAGTACCCCAGTCTCATGTCCTATCCCAGGCAGGCCACTTGCTCTGCTTGGCTTCCTCTCAGGCCCCAGGCTGTGGTCAGAAAGGGCCTCAGGTAGAAAGCGAGGATGGTGGTAGAACTCATGTCATCTGTTTCCCTTCTCTCAAGTCTTGTGTCCAGTGTCCATTTTCTGAAAGCAAGTTATTTCCTATATTTTTTCCATTTCTTTCATTGTTTACCACAGGAGGGCCTTGTCTGGTTAGTCCTGCATGTCAAAAGTCTCTGCCTCTGTCTTGTGTTTAAGAAGCATGTGGCTGGATTGCTTTTAAATCTAGTCTGGGAATTTCTGTGAACAGTGGATTAAGTACATTTTCACTTTTGTATTACTTGATCACCTTCTTTAATATTTTCCATCTGTCATCATTGCTCTTTGCTCCCTTTTCTCCTTTCTTTTCCCTTGTATTGGACTGATTGAGGTTTATTTCATTTTCTTTCTCTGTGAGTTTGGAAATCATAACAGTCTATCTCTGTTGAGTAGTTACCCTTGACTTTTAACATAAAACTCAAGTTAGAATAAAAAAAAACCTCAATTTAGCAAGTCTAAAGTCAATGAATTTCTTTATTATAAATTTGAGTACTAGAACAAGTTTAGAATTTTTTTAAAAAAGATTTTATTTATTTATTTGAGAAGTAGAGTTACAGACAGTGAGAAGGAGGAACAGAAAGATCTTCCATCCACTGGTTCACGCCCCAAATGGCCTCAACAGCCGGAACTGAACTGATCTGAAGCCAGGAGCCTCCTCCAAGCCTCCCACACAGGTGCAGGGGCCCAAGCACTTGGGCCATCTTTCACTACTGTCACTGGCCATTAGCAGAGAACTGATTGGAAGAGGAGCAGCCAGGACTAGAATTGGTGCCCATATGGGACGCTGGTGCCTTAGGCAGATGATTATCCTACTGAGCCAGAGAGGCAGCCCAGTTTAGAATATTTTAACTTTGATTTCTGCACTTGTGTCTTTGATATATACCATTTTTAACATTTTACTTCCATATTCTTTTTAAAAAATACTTATTTATTTGAGAGGCAAAGAGAGGGAGAGACAGAGAAAGAGAGGTCTTTCATCTGCTGGTTCATTCCCCAGATGCCCACAATAGCCGGGGCTGGGCCAGGCCAAAGCCAGGAATTCCATCTGGTAGTCCCATGTAGGTATCAGGGACCTGAGTCCTTGAGCCATCACCATTGCCTTCAGAGTACACATTAGCAGGAGGCTGGATTGGAAGCAGGGGCAGGGTTTGAACCTAGGCACTCCGACAGGAAATGTGGGCATCCCAAGTAGCAACTTAAGCCACTATGCCCTGACACCTGCCCCCCTCATTTGTTTCTCTGGGACTTTGGAGGTGCCAATGGTCTCTGATAAGTACTTTATGCTAGTTTATTGGCTCAGGATTTTTCTGGACGCCGAGTGCTGCGCTTGTCCCCGCCCCCACTGCAAGGCCCGGGCAGACGGCAGGCTTCTGTACCACTTCCCTGGGCTTGCAGGTAGACACCACCTTCATCCTCTTGTTGCAACAAGGCACTCTTGGGAGACTTCCAGAGTTATGCAAAGAGCTCATGTGCACGCTGCGTTACAGAAGCCCGAGTTTATGTCTTCTAAACCTCTGCCTTCTGCTATGGCAAGTTTGCCTTTTATCAGTGTATACTTACTACAGAAAGTATCCTTTTGCAATCCTCAGTTCCTCACAGATAAGAGCTATTAAAACTTCCCAATTTTGTTCCTTCCCATCCAATAATACACACACACACACACACACACAAATCTGCACACAGAGGTATTTGTATATACTCACATACATGACACACATCCCTTTAAATATGGACTCACATTAAACACAGATTTGTACTTTTGTGAGAGTTTATCTCAACTTCCTAAAAGTGGAATGCCTGAGTGAAATAACACGCACATTTAAAATGTTCACAAATAATGGTAAATTGCACTCCTAAAGTGGCTTATTTTATATCCCCATCACTAGTGCAAACTATTGGTCCTGTCTCTGTATCCTCACCTGCCCTAAGTTCTATCCATCTTTGCCATTTTTGCCAAACTGGCAAAGGAACACCAGCATCTCGTTGTTTTCACCTGCTTTGCTATGACCAGAAGTGAGGAGGAGCATGTTTTTCAGTAGCCTTGTATGCATTGTTTTCTGTTTTTTTTTTTTTTAAGATGTATTTATTTTACTTGAAAGTCAGAGTTACACACAGAGAGAGAAGGAGAGGCAGAGAGAGAGAGCAGTCTTTCATCCGCTGGTTCACTCCCCATTTGGCCGCAACACACAGACACACAGATCTTCCATCTGCTGGCTCACTCCTCCAATACCCACCATAGCCAGGGCTGGGCTGGGCCAAAACTAGGAGCCCAGAGCTCTATCTAGGTCTCCTATGTGGGTGCCAGGGTCCCAAGTACTTGAGCTATCACCTGCTGCCTTCCAGGGCATTCACCATCAGGAGCTGGGACTCAAACCCAGGCACCCTGATATGGGACGTGGGCATCCCGAGCAGTTGTCTTAACCACTGCACTCAATGCCACCCTACGGTTAGTGTTTGGAGGCTCCACCAAACTGTTTCCCACCTTGGCCACATTGTTTTCTGATCCCACCAGCAGCGTCCAGCGGTTCTCACCAACACGTGTTAGCATTTCCCCTGTTTTCGTGTATAGACGTTCTAGGAGGTGTGAGGTGACCTCACACGGTGGTCTGGATGTACCCTTTCCCAGTGACTGGTGGTGCTCAGCGCTTCTTCATGTGCTTATTGGCCATTTGGGTATCTTCTTGGGAGAAATACAGGTCTTTTGTCTCCTTTTCAATTGGGTTGTTGATCCTTATGCTGTTGGGTTTCAGGAGTTCTTCATACTTGTACAGGTTGAAATGCTTGGGACCAGAAGTGGTTTGAATTTCAGTTTTTGTGAAAACTGGCACAGACATAATGATACGTCTTGAGGATGGGGCACAAGTCTAGACATGAAATGCATCTATGCTTCATATACACATAACCTGAAGATAATTTTATACAATATTTTAAAGAAATTTGTGCCTGAAACAAAGTTTCGTCGTGTGCAGTTTTCCACTTGTGGTGTCAAGTCCATGGCCCAAAAGTTTCATAATTGGAGCATTTCGGATTTCGGATTATCAGATTGGGAATGATCAGCCTGTATTTTCTGGAAATGCTTTCTAGTGTAAGCTACTAATCTTTGGTAACTTGCTACATAGCAGTAGGGAACTGTACACACTTTACCTTATCATTAACTGTGAAATCAGACTCCCTTACAAACTTAGGAAAAGCTGTCTGTTTTTAGGAATGTCCAGTTCCTTAGAGGTTGGGTAGAACTCTCTCAAGAACCTATTGTGGCCAGTTGTCTTTTTTGGAGGTGGAGTTGCTCTTTTTTTGTGGCTGTTTTTCTTTTTTTCTTTTCAAACACATATACTGGTCCATTATAAAGGCTATTACAAAAGGATACCTCAGAGGGAGATCTTTGACAACGTGTTTTATACTTCAGAGTTTGCTTCTGTTCCTGACATGACACAGCCCATCTTCTCGGTTGCTCAGAGTATTAAGTGAAATAATGAGTATGCAGTGCCTTAACACAGTGGCTGTACACTAACACCCTCCAGAACGGTGCCGGCTGTGTTGCTGTGAGATGCTCTGCTTCACCCTGGGCTGTGGGGTCTGTCTCCCAGCGGGGCCTCGCCGGGTGTCCTTGGTGCTCGTGTGTGCCCACTGAGCTCTGTTCATCTGAAAAACTCTGACCTTGTTTTTGAGGTCAGGGAAATGTTTTTATATTCTCATTACTGCTTTTCCCCTCCTTCCTCTCTCCCCCTTGAAGTCCTGTTTGGATTTCCCCTGCCCTCCTCAGCTCCTGTCAGTTCACTGGCAGCTGCCATTTTTGGGTTATTTTGACTCAGGTTGCTGGAATAATCCCCATACTTTATCTTCAAGATCTCTGATTAGAGTTTCGCCGGGGACCATTTTATTGGAGGAACATGCTTAAGTGTGCGGTGCTAGTAGCTGTAGACTGTGTTAGTACAGAGTTCAAGGTTTGCCATTCTTTTTTTTTACCCTTCACTAGGATGGAAAGACCACTCCCTCCCACACTGTAAGCTTCAGCGCTGCCCCTCTGATGGGCAGGTGTGTGTGTATCCCTGTGGGGCTGTTCCTAGGGGGCTCTGGTCGTCTGCTGAGCCTGTGGGGTATCACAGAGGTGTGACATGCCATCGGGAGCCACAGGAAGGCTGTGAGCCAAGCCCCAGTGGGGGCGAACAGATCTACAGGGGAAATAACCCAATAGCAGGTCTTCTGTGAACTTGTGACGGGCATATCAGAGGGAAAACACTAAGCATAAAAGTAGCCACCAACCCCTGGAGAAGCACATCGTTTATTAAGGAAGGAAATGCCGTCATTCATGCACTCCGCGTCCCAGCGCTGAATAGTCGTCCTAATACCCGCGCTGGGGTGGACAGGACTGGGTGCCGTGTCCCTTGTTCCCAGCTGTTGCACCTGTGGGTGCTTTAGGGCACACAGCAAAAAGGGGTTTTGCAGATACAGTTCTTGTTATGGACCCTAAAATAGGAAGATTATCCTGGATTAGCGGGTGGGCCCAATCTAATCACTTGATCCCTTAAAAGCAGAGAAATTTCAGAGAGATGCCATGTAAGAGGTCAGAGAGACTCAAAGCATGCTCAGGGTCTCCAGCTGGCTTTGAAGGAAGGACAGCCACCAGGAGCTGACCAACAGCCCCCCAGAAACAGGGGCCGTGGTCCTTCCACTACCTCAGACTGGGTTCTGCAAAACCCGGAACGGGCCTGGGAGCAGCCTGGCCCCCAGAACCTCCAGATAAGAGCCCAAGTCAGCTGACACCTTGAGTTTGGCTTGTGGAACCCGGAGCAGAGAAACCGAAGAGCCTGCCAGGCCCCTGACCTGCGGATCAGTGAGAGAACAGCTCGGCATTGTTCTCCGCTGCTGAATCTGTGCTTGTTTGCTGCAGCTGCAATGGCAGAGACGCCCTCGAAAATCGATTCAGCCAGAAAGAGCAGAGGCAGTTCTGCTTGGCAGGAGAGAGCGCTTCACTAAAATAAAACTAAATTCTCATGTTGCATGACAGGAAATCAAAAGATTATATTTAAGCCTTAGAAGAGGAAAAACCCAACAAAACATAGACGCATACGCGTCTGTAGAAAGATGGCAGTGAATATTCAAAGAAAACAACGAAAAGCATCCTAATAGCTGGTTCGGGACAGCAGGGACTGGGAGTGGTGGGGCTTGGGGGCAGCTGCCGAGGTTTTCGTCTGACGCCTTGTAGGGTGCAGGGGGCACTGTTAGGTTTCTGAAAGCACGCGTGGTGTGACTACGTGGTGTGACAGGTCCCATCGCCACCCACGTGGGATGTGCCCACCTGTCCACCCAACCTGAGCAGCTGGGAGCGGGGCTGCCCCTGGCGGCCAAGGGTGAGGCAGCCCTCAGCTCCGCTCTCTGTGCCCAGGGTGGAAGAGAGCAACAGCAAGCTCCTGGAGTCTGAGAGGAAGCTGCAGGGGGAGCGGCTGCGCACCGTGCTGCTGGAGCAACACCTGGAGAAGCTGCGCCTGGAGCCAGGGCGGGCGGCCCCCAAGGGCAGGACAGGTAGGGGCCAGGGCCCCGGGCCGGCCCTGCTGATGATGGAGGGGCCCTCCCCGCACCATTTGGCCTCTTGGAGGGAAGCGCGGGAAGTGGAGCTCCCATCAGGGAGGCGCCTGCCCACCCTTCACCTCTTTCCCCTGCCTCCCAGTCAGAGCTAGGGAGCCCTGAATGCCCTCAGCCACCTTCCCCTGTGCCCCACCCCAGCCCCCAGCCCCCAGTCCTCAGGTCCTCAGGAGAGCGGGTCTGGGGGCAGTGGCTGAAATGAGAGAGCAAGTCCGCTTTTGCCTCCCGCAGTGGCCTGGCTCATCTAAGCAGGGCTAAAGTCCTCATGGGCTGGGGACCCCCGACCCCCACTCCTCTGTCTTGTAGCCCCGCCATCCTCCCCACACTGCCTCCACCTCGTGGCCTTAAGACGGCTGCTCCATACCTTTTAGGGGAACACGTGTCCCCTCAGCCCCTGCCCCACTGACCAGCCCCAGGCACAGAGCACAGGCAGCCATCCGGAGCTGCAATTGGGGACCCTGTCCTTAGTTGAGAGACCCATCCATCTAAAACTGCATGCACAGGTGCATGCTCCAGACCTGCAGCCTCAGCGCCTCGTGGGCTGGGGCGAGCTGCCGATGCGGGATCCCAGGGCCAGAGGGATTCCTGGGATAGCTGGTGCCCAGGGAGGAAGACGGCAGCATGGAGCACCTAGGCTTCCCTCCCTCTCTGTGAGGTGCCCAGCCCACCCCTGCAGGCTCTGGATGGAGGAACGACCATTTGGCCCTGCACTGTCTCTCAACTCCCCAGCACCCCACAGCCGAGGACACTCAGGCCCCTGTTCCCTGAGTTGGGACAGTACCGAGGGACATACCAGCACCAGGGCACCAGGGTCCTCAGTGCCCCCTGCTCACTCCCAGGACTCCAGGGGCTTTCTGGGGGTCCAGGTGGGGAGGAGACCCCAGGCTTAGCCCTGCGGGCCCCCTTGGGCCCATGGGAACAGGTTCTCTAGGCTCACTCACCTCCAACCCGGAAGAGCTAAGCCATGGCAGGAAAATCCCCCTGCTCCTGCCTGGGCGGTGGGGGCACCTGCCTGAGAGACAGTGTCCGTGTGGCTCTGCTGCCTGTGCTGTGACACAACACTGCCCTCCCCCAGCCCCCAGCCTAATTCAGTCCCCCGCAGTGGACACCTGAGCAGACCGGGGTGGAGGTGGGGGGAGAGGGAAAGTCTCTGAAGGAGGAACCAGCGTAAGGGCACTGTGGTGGCAGCTTAGCGGAAGGCTTGCCTGAGGCTGGAGGCGGGGATGCAGAATTCCCAGTGTGCAGAGGTGACTGCGTTCAGGCCTCCCGGTGCTCTAGAGGCAGCAGGTGCAGCCCTCGATGTGCGGAGAGGAGACCAGCTCTGAGAGGCTGATGGCTGAGCAGGGGCCTGACAGCCAGGTCTGCTGCTGCTGGGGGTTTCCTCCTGGCCACTGCAGCACCGAGGGCCATTTTGGCACAGACGTTTCCTGACACCAAGATGTAGCTCAAACTCCCCACCAGCCGGGCTTTGCCTTCTTTTCTGGGTCCCCCAGGCTGGGGACTGGCGGTTGGACCCAGTGGTACAAGGGCATCAGGGGCGGTGATGGCCTAGACAGGGACTCAGCCTGCAGGCCAGACTTCAGGCCAACCGGCTCCTCTTGGTAGAAACAAATTTCCTGCAACTTGGAGGTTGTGAAGGTGGAGACAGTGAGGCGAGGGGCCACCTCGGAACAGAGCAGGCAGAGCCAGGGCTGGAGCAGAGGCCAAAGCTGTGGTTGGGAGAGTGCAGAGCAGGCACCCGGGAGGGCTTCTGGAGGGAGGCAGCCCTCGCCGTACCCCCTTGAGGAGGCGCCATGGTTCACCAAGCGGAGGAGCAGGAAGTGAGCAAGTGGGGAGGGGAAGGAGGACACTGCACAGAGCTGTGGCCTCATCACACAAAGTGCCTTCTGCTGCCCCACAGGTCGGCCAACCTCCAGCACCAGGCAAAACTGGACAGGAAGCGAGAAGGACCCACCCTTGGCCCAGCTCTCCCAGGTGCCTGTGGAATCCCAGATGGAGGAGCTGACCACCAGGTGCTCCCTGCCCCTCCTTCCTAAGAGGGTGGGGGCACTCGGATGGGCAGAGGCACAGCACCCTTCCCTCCTGCACCTTGACTTCTGTTTGCCCATAAGGCTGATGCCAGGGGGTCCTGGGATCTAGGCATTCAGAGGGCAGAGGGGCCCAGGACCCTGCTGAAACTGTGGTCCCAAGAGGCGTTTCATTGAGCACGGGCTGCTGACCGCACTTGTGTCACTTGGTCAAGCCTTTTGCAGTCAAGGTCAGCGAGGGGAAGGGGGAACCTCTGCTCATCCTTGGGACATCCTTGAAGCAGCTGACATCATGGGGAGCTGCTGGGTGCCAGGCCCAGGGCTGTGGGTGAGCCCAGAGAGGACTCCCACATGGTATCCCTCAAGCATCCGTGGGAGGAGGGGGTGGGCCAGACAGAACCCCCACCCACGTGGCTGCCAGCAGGAGCCACACTGAGCCCTGTCTCCACATGGTCCAGGCTGGCCATCCAGGAGGAAGAGAACAAAATGCTGAAGGCTGCCCTGGGCAGTGCCCTGCGGGGAAAGGAGGAGGACTTCCGCATGTACCACGAGACCCTGGGCCAGGTGAAAGGGGTCTTCTTGCAGGCCCTGCGGCAGCAGAAGGTGGACAAGCACTAGGCTGGCGGCCCAGCGTCAGCCCAGCCGAGCAAGACAGGGCTCAGTGTCCCTGCCAGGACGCCAACTCCAGGCGCCCAGCTTAGCCACTTCTCCCAGAAGGTGGACGAGCACTAGGCTGGCGGCCCAGCATCAGCCCAGCTGACCAGGACGGGGCTCAGTGTGAGGGCTCCGTCCGTGCCAGGACGCCAGCCCCAGGCACCCGGCTCAGCCACTTCTCCCAGAAGGTGGACATGCACTAGGCTGGTGGCCCAGCATCGGCCCAGCTGACCAGGACGGGGCTCAGTGTAAGGGCTCCATCCACACCAGGAAGCCAGCCCTGGAATCCAGCTCAGCCACTTCTCCCAGAAGGGTCCTGGGTCCTGGGTCCCCCTAGGCCCACATGACTCCACCCATGCAGGAGAGCCTTCATTGCGCCAGGCTGGGTGCAGGCCCCAGGCCACCCAGCCCAACTGTCCCCCTCGCCAGTGCATCCTCCATACCTGCCCCAGCTAAACCCGTGGCCATCCCCAGCCGCACAGACTCAGTGTCACGCTCTCCACCACCTGGCCGGCCTGCTCCTTGGGTGCAGACCTTGGACTTGTAATAATTCCCGTTTCCGCCCTCAGTGCAGCTCCCGGTGAGTAAGCGTCTGCTGTGGAAACCTGGCCGTGTCTAGTGCGCTCCTAACCCAGGGGGCTGCCACCCTGCTCTGGGAGCAGTGGAGCACATCACTCGGGACAGCTGTGCCGGCCCCACTGCCTATTCCCGAGGGGCCGTGGCTGGTGGGTGCTGGCGGCAGAGGGCAGAGGTGGGCTGGGCTGAAGCTTTGGGCAGGGGTTCCAGGTGCTCCCTCGCATGGTATTGTCTCAGTGTTCCTCCCTCGCATGGCAGGCTGGGAGGGCTGCTATAAGGAGTCCTCTTGGTGACTGTTCAGTCTCCCCCCAACCCTGTGGCTGCAGTGCCGGTCAGGGGTACCCCCAAGGAAGATCACCCATAGCCATACACCCTGGCCCCACCAGGTGCACACACAGGCCCCCAGGGAGATGCAGCCACACACAAGCACCTCGGTTCAGGAGTGAGCAGCTGTGCCTGTGCGACCACATCACCTCCACACAGCCCACACAGCCCACACAGCAGACACGGGTACGCTCAGTTATGGGTGTGGGCACACACTGCCACACATGAGGACACACACATGCAGGTGCACATACTGTGACAGCCTCCTGGGATGCTGTCTGCTCAGGCCTTTCTCCAGTGCAGGGGCTGTGGGGGACAACAGTGGTGCTGACCCCACTCCCCCCAGCACACACACAGGAGCCTTGACCCTGCCTGGTGATGCGATCTGGAGGCCCCGCAGCAGAGGGGGCCATTCTGATGGGTTCTCAGGGCTCCAGGAAGGGAGGGTTTAATCTTCAGTTCCTGGTGAGGGGAACAGGCCAAGCAGGGAGCCAGAGAGGAGTGAGGCGGCCTATGCTTGGGGGTGGGGTGGGGTGTGACAGTCCATCAGGCAGAGTGATTCAGCACTTTCTACAGGAGCTGAGGAGCCCCAGAGGCTGACTTGAGTGTGGGCCGCAGGTTCTGATCCCCAGTGGATTCCCTGGGAGTGAGAAGCAGGCATTGTCCAGAGGGTCACCTCAGAAATGCAGACCCACACCCTGACCACTCCGGACTAGTTCTGTCGCCCTCCCCGGCTCAGGGCCAGGGCGGTGTGCAGAGGGAGCATCCGGTTGTAGAGTCTGTGCAGGTGCCTCAAACAGATCGCCTTCCCCACTCACCAGCACGTGGCCTTGGGCAACTACGGAGCCGCCACATGCTCAGTCCACACGCTGGGGGCAGTAAGAGACCTCCCTCAGAGGGCTGTCCACGGTGTCCAAGAAGAACCCGAAGGCGTTCAGCTAACTGTTCGCTTGCTGTTCACTTCTGTGCAAGGAACGTGTGTCCCTGGACTGACTGCATCCCACACCAAGGAAGCAGGATCGGCGTAAGCAGGGGTGGGGGATTGGGTGTGGATGTGGGCACTGTAACCCTAGTCCAAGCATCTTACACAAAGCAGTCTGGGCGCTCAGCCCTTGCTTAGGCCAGCCACGGGCACAGGGACGAGTGTTTCAGTTTACAGAATCTGCAGGCAACCTTGAGGGCTGTTTTGTGGAGCTGTGCCTGTGGGCCCGGTTGCATATGTGAGCACCTGCCCCCAGCACTCAGGCTTGGTTAGACCCAGTCGGCTGCATTCCCTTATTAGAACCTTCTTCAGGTTTCATTGAGTTCAGGAGTGCCAAGTGCTTGGAGCAGTTGCTGGCACACAGCAAGCACTCAATAAATGTTCGCACTCCGTATCCCCTCTATTGGTTCCACAAATACTTCTTTGAGCAGCTCCTCTGCCACAGCTACGGTGGTGCCAAAGAGGCAGCTATGGCCTCTAATCTCTAGGAACTCCCAGCCTGGCCAGGGAGACAGAGCTGGGGGCAAATCTGACTCTCTCCCTCTTTTCAGGGAGCTCCCAGCCTGGTCAGACAGATCTGGGGAACAGGGGGCCATGGTGGGGCCGAGGGCTGGAGGAAGGAGACAAGGACAGGCTGCCGCACCACAGAGCCACCTCCAGGGCCCCAGATCTGGGTGGGGAGGAGGCTGTTAGGGACCCATGTGTCCACGTCTCCACGAGGTCCAGGAGAACCCAGGAGAAGGAGGGGTTGACAGAGGGAGGACTGGAAGCCTGAGGGATCTACCCCAAGCAGGCCAGGCAGAGTGTAGAGCAGCCTGGTCCGTGCAGGCTGTGCCCATGGTCTCCCCTACCCAGCCCCCCCTGTTCCCAGGACTCGGAGGATGCCCTCCCACTCCTGCAGGCAGGGGGGCTGGATAAGAAGACCAAGGGCCTGTCCAGAGCCACAGCGCAGTGGGGGAGGAGGGGAGGTGTAGGACCTGTGGAAGGTCAAGGGGCGGGGACAAGTAAAGAGGCAGGTGGTGGAGTGGCCTCTCCCTGGTCACACCCCGGGCAGGTGCTGCAGGTCTGGGTGCTCAGGTTGCAGCACTGACAGTGAGACCTGGTTGAGCTGTGAGTGTGGTCTGGCCACTGTCCCCAAGGGCTCAGGTCGACTCCAACACATTCCATTACCACAAGGCCCCGCCCAACTCCTCTGGGCCTCCCACATCCACCAGTGAGCTCACAGTAAGTCCCCAGCACAAAGAAGTCTCCGCCCACCTTTCTCTGCAGGTGTGTTCCACACATGACCTCTAGCCCAGTCCTTGAGGCCTGCATGGACACCAAGCACCCTGTACACAGAGCCTGATAGCACACACACACACACACAAAAAAAACACATGTCGCAACCATACATACATGCAGACCCTTGTACAATCACAGCTACACAACAGTACACACCAACCAGTACAACACACAATTGCACACACACACACAGGATACTTTTCCAGATTTACTTTGAGGTACAAACAATTAAAAATTAAAATATGAGGAAGGACCTGAGGTTTAAGAGAATGGGCACCTCTCCATTCCACGCCCTTACCTAGCTTTCCCCGGTGGGTTTTGTGGCATTTGGGAAGTTCACCCCAACCTTGGGCTTATCTGAGCCCGGCCAGCTTCTTGCTGTGTGGGCTGGCTGTGCCAGATGCCTTCCCCTCTGACACCCCTTCCACGGGGTGCTGTGGCCTTGGGCTGGGACCCCCCAAGCCCTATTGCCCTCGGCAGATGTTGGAACCCCTGTAGGCCCCACTGTGCAGGGCCCACGTGGGGAACATCCCTGCAGTGTGTCCTGCCTCCGGACCGCTGGAGTCAGGGTCAGGGTCAGCCTCGCTGCACAATTCCGTGAATCAGGCCCTTGTCCTGGAGTGAGTCACTAGGTCCCTCCAGGAACTCAGTGAGGCCGGGGCCGGCAGTACGTCCATTTTACAGATGAGGATCTGGGACTGCAAGAAGTGGATCACACCAGCCAGGCGGAGCTCTGGCTCAGGTCAGTTGGCCGAACCTGTGCCCTTAACCTAGGCTAAAGCACACTGCCTGCTGCCCTGAGCCCTTGTCCTGAGCCTCATGACAGCCAGCACGGGCTGGTCTCAGCCTGTACCTGGTGTGGGTGAGCTGGGTTCTCGCCCACCTGAGCTGCTGCGGCTGACCCAGCTACTTCACCTCTTGTGCCTCAGTTGCCTCTTCTGCCAAGTGAGGAGGATGGGAACACTCACTGTGCATTGTGGTAACATTAAAGAGTTAACCCATGTACACCCCGGCTGCTATGATGAACTTCCTCCAACAACCGAACAAACATCGACTCCAAGACCTCCCCCTCCAGGAAGCCCTCCCTATCCCCCAGTGGCTTGGGTGCCTCCCCTGATGCTGGCCTCTAAAGCCCAGGAGTCCGACCACAGCCCTAACCCGGCCGACACGGCTGTTCATGCTTCTCAGGGCCAGGCCTCAGGGACACCGGCCTCTGTGCCTGTCACTTGGAGTGTGTGCATTAGGGTGTCCTTGCTGCTTCCTCCGGGCCAGCATGTCTCATACTTGGGAGGAAGTCCACTGCCCAGGGGCCAATCCTGTCCCCTTCCCAGGTCTTGCCCAGGTCCTGGAAGCAGCACCTTCTTCCCCCATCCTCAGCTGAACCCAGGGTGGGGCTTTGGGATCTGCAGGGGTGCCAGGAGCTGTCCTGTGGCAGGCTCCAGGGTCTCCTCCTCCCACCTCTCCCCAAGCACATCCATGGACAGGACCCAGAGCTGTGGCAGAAGCACATACTGCTTGCCCAGACTCAGGAGGGTCTTTCCCCAAAGGGAACCTAGAAGAGGGTCCTGACCTCTGGGAGGGAGGGTCCTCAGGACATTGTACCCTATCAGGTTCCCAAAGTGGGAGCTCTGCCCCATTCTCCAAAGCCCCAGGTGGTCAGAGACATTTCTGTCTTCCTGTTTGCCTCCACTCTGCCATGGAGAGGACACCAGTCCCTCAAGGATCCACAAGCCTTGCCAAGTGACCCTCCTGGCACCCCCCCCCCCCATCAGGATAACATCCCATGGAGCAGGCCTGGGGGGCGGGCCCTCCAGTCCCAAGGCCACTCCAATTCCAGTCCCACCAGGCAAGTCAGGCCTCCCCAGGTACAGATGCCGAGCTGGCCGGGATAGATGAAAAGGACCAGGGCAGGGCCCTTGGGAGGGCACCTGTAGAGGTAGGGGCTGGAGCCCAGAGCCAGACGGGCAGGATGCCTGCATTTGTGGCATGCGACGTGTGCTGGGGCACAGCTTATAAACCTAGAGTGGCTGACAGGACCACCAGGAAGTCTTCCTGGAAGAGGGGAGTCCTGCCTAGCCGTGAGAGAGAGGGACAGGCTCTTTAGGCGCCAGGGGAGGCAGGTGAGGTGAGGCCCAGGTGTCCCTGCCTGAGCCTATGCCATCGTCCCCTCCCTTTCCCCAGCCTCCCTACCCCCCATCCTCCCTGCGGCTCCCTGCGGCCAGCAGCGCTCCCTGCAGCACTCGGCTCCGCTCCACACAGCTCAGCTCCACTCCAGGAAGGCCACCTCCTCCCTGCCCTCCTCCCCCCCTCCTCCTGCTGTCACCACTCACCGCTCATCGTCTCAAGGGGGTGGGGACCCCAGGGCTGGACACACCCCACCGTGGCCCCAGAGCTCAGCCGGTCGACGGACGCAAGGTCGGACACAGGACCCCGGAGCCTGAGGTGGGCAGTGTGCCAGGGTCCCTCGCAGCCTCCTCAAGGTCAGTGCCGGCTGGAGATGCAGCCACTCCGGGGGGCCTGGAGATCTGCGGGGCCCGCACCAGGCCCCTCATCCCAGATCTCGGGCCCCAAAGTGTGCCTTACCCCAGGGGCACCTGAGCTAGGCAGGACCAGGGGAGAGGGGTGCCCCCTGCATCTGTCGGCCGGCCGGGTCTGAGGGTCCATCAGGAGAGGCCCCAGGCTGGGGGCCGGCTCCTCACGGAGGCCTCGCTGGGGACACCCTGCGCCGGCCATAGGGAGCTAAAATTGGAAAGTGGCGAGTGGGAGGCAGCTGACAAAGCTCTTTCGCGGGCTCTTTGCCGTGCTCCGGTTTCAAGCTCCTGCTCCATTAACCTGATCCCCGGGGCCTCCCTACCCCCACCTGGCTGGTGAGGAGGTATCGTAGCCCTCAGGCTGGTAGCCCCCTGGCCTGGGCAGGGGTAGAGGTGCCCTTTCCCATCTGAGACTTCAGAGGGGCTCCTTGGGACCACTGTACCTGAAGGGAGGCAGACGGGAGCCTGTCCCAGGCTCGCTCTGGGGCTGTGACCAGCTCCTACCCCTCTCTGGCCCATGACCAACCAGTCCCTATACTGGGGAGAATGTTGGGGTCCTGGGCCAGTGGGCCGTAGGACTTGCAAGGGACATTTGGGACAGGACCTGTGGTGGGAGACACACTAGCCACCTCTTGGCTCAGCCCAGCCCAAGAAGGCACCTAGACACATCCCTCCCAAATGCCCCGGTCTGTCTGTCCCCGTCAGTCCCTAAGAAAGACCTTAGGCCAGGCTAGAGCAGGGTGGTAAGGGCATCGGTGCTAGCTGAGGACCGGAGTGGCCTAGCAGGACTCCTGGGAACAAGCGAGGCCCTGTGGGAGGGAGTGGCTGAGCTCCCCCTGGGCCTGATACCCATCAGCACCTTGGACAGCAGCCAGGGCCCTCCAGCTGCCCCGCCTGGCCCTGCCTGGCCCCACACCCGCCACTCCAGGACGCCTCCTCAAATAGCACAGCCTCCAGGCGGCTCAGGGCCTGAATACACAGTGTGGTCTGGGACATAGGCAAGGACCCGAGATGCGGCAGGCTGGGGCTCAGGGGCTTGCGAGGAAATGGAGGACAGAGAGAAGCTGACTGAGACGATGTGGCCTTGGTGCTACAGTGGGGACCTGGGGAGCCTACAGGGTCTCAGGGCAGGAAGAGCAACATAGGGAGGAGTAAGAGAAGGGCTCGGAGCTGAAGGAGGCTCGCCGAGGGGTGTGAGAACCCTGACGGAGCTAACAAATTAGGTTTCTCCTTGTGGGGGTCACGGGGGCCTGGGCAGGAGCCGCTGCGGCAGAGGGAGGGGACCAGCCCCTCTGAAAGTGTGACGTCAATGAGGATGAGCAAGGCAGGCTGCGAGTGAAGACTCTGCTTTCAAGAGCCTTGAGTGTAAGGGAGCAGGGCAGCAATTGGGATGGGGCAGTGGGGGGGGTGGCCTGGAGGAGTGGGGGGCACAAGGTCCCCCAGGGGTAGGTGGAGCAAGCAGTCTCTCCAGAGTGGGGGCCATGAGGTGCGGCTAGGCAGGGCTGGAGGCTGCAGCGCCCTCACCCAGTGTGTCTCCCCCAGCCCCTCCCAGGCTATGGGTGTCAAGACAGCATTGCCAGCAGCGGAGCTGGGTCTCTACTCCCTGGTGGTGAGTGGCGCCCTGGCCTACGCGGGCAGAGGTCTCCTTGATGCTTCACAAGGTAACAGCTGGGCCCCAGGGGCACGGGGCGGGAACTTTCTTCCTTTAGGGGCCTGGGAAGGTGCAGTTCAGGGACACCAAGAAGCAGAGACACTGATAGAGACGTGAACAGGGCCATACATGCACACACACACACATGCCACACCTGCACACGCACACATGTGCATACTCACACCTAATCCCAGACACACTGTGAGATTCAGGGAAAAGCAGAGGCAGGGCGAGAGACCCATCCAGGTTCACTGCCCCTCACCTGAGTGTGCCTGGGGGCAGGAGGGGAGGGGGTGTAGAGGGCCCCTCCCTGAGGTCATGCTGTGTTCTCAGATGGGGCTCACAGGAAGGCCTTCCGGGAGTCTGTGCGACCCGGCTGGGAGTACATTGGCCGCAAGATGGTAGGTCCCCCATGGCCTGACCCCGGCACACCTCTCCGCTCCTAAATCCTCCCCATTACCCACTATCCCAGACACTCTCTGGCTTGTGCCTCAGCTTCCCCACTGGCCCCTCGCATGTCCTCTGGGGACATCAAAGTTGCCCAGGCTCTGCTCATTCAGGAATTGGGCTCCATTAAGTCCACATGTTCATTGGGTGGAATAACGCAGGAGTGAGGAACATCAGGCAGATGTGCTGAGCCGAGGGGCAGGGAAGCCCACCTGCCTGCCCTTGTTCCTCTCCAGCTATCAGCCTGGGGTACGCCCCAGAAAGGGGACCTGCAGCCACTGTTTTTGTCGAACACATGAGAAGGGGGGGTGCGAGGGCTAGGAGGGTGCCAGCCCTTCCTGCCCCTTCTCCACCCTAACCTGACTTGGACGCCCCCAGGATGTGGCTGACTTTGAGTGGGTGATGTGGTTCACCTCCTTCCGCAACGTCATCGTCTTTGCCCTCTCGGGACACGTGCTCTTTGCTAAACTCTGCACCATGGTTGCCCCCCAGGTGAGCTTACTTGTGTGGCCCAGCTCCTCCTGAACCATCCAGGGGCCCCACCCCACACCCCCTATTTGCATGGAGGGGCAAACTGAAACCTCCTCCCCACCCACAGCTCCGCTCCTGGATGTATGCTGTTTACGGGGTCCTGGCCGTGTTGGGCACAATGGGCCCTTGGTACCTGCTGCTGCTGCTGGGCCACTGCGTGGGCCTCTATGTGGCCTCACTGTTGGGCCAGCCTTGGCTCTGTCTCGGCCTTGGCCTGGCCAGCCTGGCCTCCTTCAAGGTGGACCCTCTAATCTCTTGGCAGGTGTGTACTGGGGCACTGCAGGGGTGGAGGGTACTGGGAGAGAACCCCAAATCTCTCACATCATCCAAAGCCCTTGCCTCCCAAGTGTCTCCACATGCATCCTTCACCTGTCCCAAGGGGGAAACTCCCACACCATCACCTGAGCCATCTTGAAGCCTTTCAGAATGCCCTGCCCACAGATGGTCACCTGCATGGGGGGACCTGTCCAGTTTGTCCCCTGCTCTGTCGCAAAGCTGGGTGGAGCAATGGCCGATGTTAACCAGCTCTGGGAGAGAAGGGAGGAGCAGGCTGGGCCCCTGCGGGAAGCTGGGGGCGGGGTGGGGGCACTCTTCCCAGACAGGAGGCGCCCTGGTGAGCGGCTGGCCTGTTCTTTCCCCTCCAGAGCGGGTTTGTAACAGGCACTTTTGATCTTCAAGAGGTGCTGTTTCACGGGGGCAGCGGCTTCACAGTACTGCGCTGTACCAGCTTTGCGCTGGAGAGCTGCGCCCACCCTGAGCGCCGCTACTCCCTGGCCGACCTGCTCAAGTACAACTTCTACCTGCCTTTCTTCTTCTTTGGGCCCATCATGACCTTCGACCGCTTCCACGCCCAGGTGAGGGACACTCTGTGGGCTCCCAGAACAGAGCTGGCTGACTCTCCCTTTTCACATAAGGGCTCCCGGCTCAGGTGGAACCCCCCCACCATGGCAGACTGGACCCCTCCTCAGCATGACACCAGGGTGACACCAGGTCTCCCCTCCCACCCCATGTTCATTGTCAGACAGGAATCACAGGGTGGAGACATGGCTCCTCCCTCAGACAGGACTCCCAGGCCATAGATACTCCCCTCCCACTCAAACAGGGCTCTCAAGATAAAAGGGATCTCCCCTAGCTCTGGACCCCTCCTAGGACCTATATCTCCACCTTCAGGCTGGACTCTTGGATGAAGCTGTGTCTCCTCCCACCCCGGGTCAGGTAGTCACTCTCCACTCAGACAGGGCTCCAGCAGCCCAGTCTGCCTCCCCTCTCAGACACCTGGCATCTCACTTTCCACCCCACCCCCACCAACCAGGTGAACCAGGTGGAGCCCGTGAGGCCTGAGGGCGAGCTGTGGCGCATCCAGGTCCAGGCAGGCCTCAGCGTGGTGGCCATCGTGGCCGTGGACATCTTCTTCCACTTCTTCTACATCCTCACCATCCCCAGTGACCTCAAGTTTGCCAACCGCCTCTCAGACAGTGCCCTAGGTGGGTCTCCCAGAGCAGAGACGGGGACAGAAAGACCTCTGCACTCCCACTGTGTCCCACAGCACCTGGCAAAGTGGGGTGGGGGGAGGGACTTATTCTAGGGGTGTGGCTTTGTCCCACATCCTTCCCCCCTTCACCAGTCACAGCTCATCTCCACAACCAAGATGGGGTCAGACAGGGTCTCCATGGGGTCCCTGAAGGACCAGGACTCCTCAGCACATTCCCAGGGTTTGGGGGTTGGGTGGGGAAGCCACAATGACGCAAGCCAGGCAGTGACGGCGCCCGTCCCCAGCCGGCCTGGCCTATTCGAACCTGGTGTACGACTGGGTGAAGTCAGCCGTCCTCTTTGGCGTCGTCAACACTGTGGCACGTCTGGACCACCTGGACCCGCCACAGCCTCCCAAGTGCATCACTGCTCTCTACGTCTTCGGGGAAACGTATGTCCCTGTGGGCCGGGTGGGGGACTTGCCCCGGGGGATCTCCACCACCCCTCAGCCCTGGGATTCACACCTACCTGCTCTCCCCAACAGGCACTTCGACCGGGGCATCAACGACTGGCTTTGCAAGTGAGTCGGGGTGGCTGTGGGGAGGGTCCCAGCCTTCCTGCTAGCTGTCTGAGCAGGGCAGTACCAGAGATGGCTCCGTGGTTCTAGAATTCACTCCTCAGCCGGAAGAAGCAAGGAGGGCAGTGAGGGGGTCATGGCAGAATTCTAGGGGGAAGACTTGGGTGAGGGGAGAGATACCGCAGGTTAGGAGGGGTGGTTTCTAGAGTGGGGTCGGGTTCGAGATGTCCACTTGGAACCTGGGAATCACTCTGGTGGAGATTCAGGGAGGGTCAGGGGTCAGAGGAGCCTGGGCATCCTGAGGGTGGTCTTGAGGCCATGGGAGTGTATATGTTCTAAGGAGAGAGCAGAGCAAGGACCACAGAGGTGGCCAAGACTGGGTCTGCAAGGACTCTGGTTGGAGGGAGAAGGAAGAGCCAGCAGAAGGGGTGGATGGAGTGGTCAGGGGAGCAGAACTAGGGTCAAGGCCATATGATACCGGGGAAGCCAAGAGAAGACCAAGAAGGCATGGAGGGGACAACGGCAGCAGACGGGGAGTGGGGGAAGGGAGGAGGCAGGGCTTTGAGGTTATTTATAAATGACGACTCATCAGAATGAAGCCTGTGGAGGATGGTGCTTTTGTGGGGATCACAAGACCCATGGGGCTGAAGAACTGAAGCCAGGGGGCCGGGGGGCGCTGAGCAAGAATTGAATTTCAAGGGGTGAGGAAGTCGGGGTGTGGCCATGGGAGGAGGTGGCTGAGGTGGTGTGGAGAAGCCACGGGAAACGGAGAAGGTCATGAACAGTGAAGCCAGTCACTCAGCAGACCTCCCACTGAACTCATGAAACCAGTGTTTATTGAGCACCCACTGTGTGCCAGGCATGGTGCACCGAACATGGCAAAGACCCTGCACTCATGGAGCTTACAGTCTAGTGGGGGAGAAGGAGGCCATGAACAGTAAACAAGCATAAGTAACTTAAGACAGGGTGATGGAACAGAAGGTGGTAGAAGCCTCTTTTGCTGGGGTCTGAGGATGGCAGCTTCTAGCCACAGTGAAAAGGACAATGTATTCTAATTGTAACGGGGAGCTACTGGGGAGAGGGTTGCATCATGGAAGTGATGTGACCAGAACTACACCCTTAAAAGGCCCCTCTGGCCGCTCTGCAGGGAAGGGACCGTAGGGCAGAGCACGTGCGAGGCTCTTGCAATGAGATGATTTCCTGGGCTGGGGTGATGGTGGAGGTGGTGGGCAGTGCTCAGGACAGAGAGGAGCCAATAGAGTTTGCTGGCTTGGATGTGGCTGACAAGCGAAACTGACGATCCAAGATGGCGCCACGGCTTACAGTCTGGGCAACTGAATGGGTGGGGATACCTCCAGCTGCACCAGAGAGGGCGTGGTTTGGGGCAGGGTTGGGGGAATGAGTCACTCAGTATCGGTACACCACTGGACGTAGGGCTCAGGAGAGAAACTGGAGATCATCGGTATAGAGACAGTACTCGGGGTCTTGGGTCTGGATGACATCACTTGGGGAGCACAAGAGCATTGCTAGAGAAGATACAAGATCCAAGGCCAAACCCTCCACAACGTGAAGTTGGGTAGAGGAAGAGGAGGAGCAGTCAGCCAGTGGCAGGATTGTCGAATGTCCCCAGAGGGGTGCCTCTCTGGGGGTGCCCTCTGCCTTTCTGGTCCTGCCCTGCCCCCGACGCCCATAGGCCCCCGCTCCCACTCCTCCTGCAGGTATGTGTATGACCACATTGGCGGGGAGCACTCTGCGGTGATCCCAGAGCTGGGAGCCTCAGTGGCCACGTTTGCCATCACCACTCTGTGGCTTGGGCCTTGTGACATCGTCTACCTGTGGTCATTCCTGAACTGCTTTGGCCTCAACTTTGAGCTCTGGGTGCAGAAACTGGCAGAGCAGAGGCCCCTGGCAGGAATCGAGGTGAGCTGGGATGGCCTCGGGCTGGGCTGGGCTGGGTCATGGAGGGCGCGGCCCTGCTGCTTTCTGTAGCTGCCTACCACACTTGGCCCCCAGTCCAGAACGCTCTCACTGCTCCTCTCCTAGCTGTCAGGGAAATGGCTTGCCCTGTAGGAATCTGGTCCTCCCTACCTTCATGGGTCAGGCCCAACACACTCAGGCCCTGTGGTGTCGACTGAGCCTCATCCTCTTGCTGGCCTCAGTTTCCCCAAATTTAACAATAATGGAGAGAGGGCCCGGGACTCCCAGAGACCAAGGCATATCCCCTGGACTTGAGTGGCCATGTGGACAAGGCCACTGACCAACTGTGTCCACTTTCCTCTGGGCCTCTTGCTCCACCCCCTGCACCCTCTGGACTGGGCAGGCCCGTCTGTCGGAGCAGATGTCCCGTCGGGTCCGGGCCATCTTTGGGGCCATGAACTTCTGGGCCATCATCATGTACAACCTTGTGAGCCTGAACAGCCTGGAGTTCACAGAGTTGGTCACCCGGCGCCTGCTACTCACAGGTGAGAGACTAAAGTGCAGAGACCCCGAACGTGCTGGGTTTCCCACCCAACGGACTGTGACCCCCTTAAAGGTCCCCATACCCCGTCCCCACCACCAGGGACTCAGCAGGGAGGCTGAGCCACATCAGGGGAGGGGTGGGAAGAGAAGAGTCACGGAGGCTACACTGCTGCTCGGGGCACTGGTGACCGCCGCCTCCCCCACACAGGGTTCCCCCAGACCACGCTGGCCATCTTGTTTGTCACCTACTGTGGTGTCCAGCTGGTGAAGGAGCGTGAGCGAACCCTGGCCCTGGAGGAGGAGCAGAGCCAGGACAAAGAGAAGCTGGAGTAGGTGGGAGGGGGCGGGGGCCGGGCTGCACTCAGCTAGACGGGGCGGACCGAGACAATAAAGGACTTTTCTACCACAGTCTGGCTGCTCCCTGCCCCTCCCCCAGCAGTCTCCTGGTTCTCTGTCCACACTGCACGGGAGCTGGAGGTCCTAGGGCCCCCTACAGAGTGTGGAGGGGACACCGGAGGGCAGAGGCCACAACAGCAGAACCTCGAAGTCCTGCGGCACCTGCCCCACCCCCACCACCCTGGTAACTGACTCAGGATCAGGAGCCCCCTCTACCCCCTTCCAGACTCTGAGCTGCTGGCTCTTTTATTCTTCATGAAGGAGAAGCACCCCCACTGCTGGGTGTGCTTGGTGGGGACACGCCCATCAGACAGATAAGGAGACTGAGTCCGGGGGAAGCTTTACCTGCGCACACAGCCAGGCCAGGCCAGGATGCAGCGTGGGCATCTCCTTATGGTTCTGGCTCATTGGACAGGAAGACCTCCAGGGTGGGGCGGGGGGAGGGATATGGCCACCTTGGACAAACCTTGGATTTCTCCCCCCAGTCTGGCTAAAGCAGTCCTGGGATCTGGGTGGGCCCAGGCCCCCTCCAGCTTCCTCCTTGGAGCCCCCACAAGGCCAGACCCGGGGATGGGGGGGTGCGTGCTTGGTTCAGGCCCTCCAGGCTGCTCACATCTTGGTCAGACGCAGCACGTTGAGCCGCACGGGCAGGAAGGTGGCGCCGGCAGCGTAGGGGATCTCCCGCAGGACACCCTCCCACTTCTTCTCTTCCTCGTTATACCTGCGGGAGGGGGCTGGGTCAGCTGCATCCGCAGCAGGCAGGGGTGGCTGGGTGCCCTTGGGCCCGTCTCCAGGAAGTGTCCTGGCCTCAGCTCTCCCTCCGGACCACACGCTCAGAAGCAAGGGGAGCGGAAGGCAGACCCGGAGGCTGTGTGGGCCCGGGCCCTCCGCTGAGCTCCTGCAGGGAATGGCAGCCAAACCACAGGCCCAGGCAGCCCAGGCAGGCAGCCTACAGCTCCCTTCCCCAGGACCCACCAGGAAGAGCAGTCAGCTCTGCCCCCGGGCACGTGCCAGGCGCCCTGCTCCGGGCCACCGTGCTGTGCTCGCTTTGCTCACGATCCCTCACTCGCCTTGGGGCCCGGCTCACCTCCAGATGTCGTTGAGTTCTGTGGGCACCAGCTCTCCAGACTCGGTCTCCAGCGTGGCGAAGCCGCCGATGGCGTAGAGGGTGCCTCCCAGGCTGACCAGGCTGAGCGAGCTGCGCTCCTGCGGGAAAGCCTCGAAGGGCGTCCACCTGAGGGGACGGGACACGCTGCATCACCCAGGGGCCTCGGCCAGCCCAGCCGTGTCCCTGCCGCCCGAGTGTGTCCCCCGGCTTCCACGTCCCAGACTCCCACGTCCCAGCACCACGCTCTGCGCTCTTCCCCTTCCCTGCACCCTGACCTCCCTCCCCAGCCTCCTGCTCCTCCCCTTTCACTTCCTTGTCCCCTGACGTTCCATCTGACCTGCCCACGGACCCTCGGTGTCCCTGCTTCTCTCCTGGGCTAACTCCCGCCCCAGCATTGCCCCCCTTCAGAGGCCACGTGAGCCCCTGGCCCCTTGCACTGCTGCCCTATCCCTCCTCTGTCTCAGTGCCCAGTTGCTCTCCCGGTGGGCCCGCACCCCTGGTTCCTGCGGGTGGACATTCCTCCGAAGCAGCTCTGAGTTCCCTACCGACCACGCACCGCTGCTGGTGACCTTTCTGCACCCCCGCCTCTCCTGCCTGACCTCCTCAGACCCCTTCCTGGAGGCTGGATCTGCCCCCAAGGCCCCCTCAGTCTCAGTATCACCTTGGGGCGGGGGTAATCAGAAAGACTGTCGGGTCCACCCCAGATGTGAAAATCAGACGCTGTACCTGAGCGTGGTCCTGGGACATTCGTGTGCACATCACAGCAGGAGAAGCTCCAGCCCCAGGCTCCAGTGCATCCCCCAGTCCCGTCCCTGCTGAGCCCCTAACTCGAGGCCTCCATCCCTCTTGCCACAGCCACACCCTGGCCTCCCTGCCTCCTGGGGAACCCTCATCTGCCCTCTACATCAGCTGCCATGAGGCACGAAACAGAGAGAGGAGCCCAGCACCCATTTCATTAACCCCAGGATAAGGTGCTTCAGGCCTCCTGGACGCCTCTCCAGCCCCCACACCCACCGTGCCTCCTCCCTTCCCCCTGCATCATCCAACCCGTCTAACAGCCTCTCTTCCAGTGGGCCCTGCCTCCCTCCCGCCCCCAACCACCTTGGAGCCAAATTTCCTTGGCCTGTCCCACTGTGCTCAGCCCACTTTTCCCTTCCTGATGTCCCAAGCTGGGCAGCTTCTGTGGGGTCCACCTCTGTAGCCCAGTTATCATGCCACACCGCCTGGCATGAGACCCTGCAATGAGGAGCCTGGTGTCCCCCCACCCACTTCCCTGACCTGGTGTGGGAAGTTCCCTCCCCACCTGCCTGCAGATCAGGGACTGTGGCTGTGGCTCCTGCCAGGGCAAACACAGAGAAGACAAAACACAGAGGGGACGGACATGAGCTCAAAGTCACACAGCTCTCAGGGAGAGGTCAGGGGCAGCCGCCTACTTGTTGTCTGCGATGTTGTACACCTCGGCAGAACTGGTCAGCCCAGTGTCAGTGACCCCAGCTGCCACAAAAATGCGACCGTCGTGGACAGTGGCCCCAAAGAGTGAGCGGGCAGTCTGCATGGGTGCCAGCTCCTTCCACTCGAATTTTTTGGGGTCATAGACGCACATCTTGTTCAGACACTTCCTGTTGGAGGCAGGGGGAGCGGGAGTGAGTGGAGGAAGGCAGGAGCAGAGCCGCCTCCCAGGGCTCCTGTAGCCGCACACTCACCCTGGCTGAGCCTCACCTGTCTGCGCCTTTGCCACCGATGACATAGACAAGATCCATATGGGACAGCACCGCATGGCCGTACACCACGTAGGGCAGAGGGTCCGACTCGCCCCACTTGAATGACCTGGAGGGGCAGGAGGGGGCAGGCTCAGGCACTTGTTCGGTGGTTTGCTGTCTCTGCATTCACCCCCATACGCAATGCAGGTTTGGGGTAGAACTATCCCTCCCTCCCTCCCGGCTGCCCACCCCTTCCCAGTCCCACCCATGGTCCACGACCTCCTGGCCCCTGCCAGGTCCCCAACCTGCCCCCAGGGCCCAGCGGCGGCCCCCACTCACAGCCTGTCGTAGCACAAGACTGAGTCCAGGCTACGCTCGCCATCCTTCAGCTCTCGGCCGCCCACCACGTAGATGGAATTCACAGCCTCTCCCAGGCCAAAGAGACAGCGCGGCGAGGGCAACGGCGGCATCCCCAGCCATTCTGAGTCCAGGTGGTCAAACTGCAGGCCAGACGTGCAGTCAGCTTCAGTCCCTGGTCCGACCCCATCCTGCCACCCAAGCTCCTTGCCTCCTGGTAGGGCCAGCACAGCCTAGAGGTGGTCCCTGGAGAGAGTACCTCTCCCACCATTAAAGCACAGTGACGGGGCACCCTGGCCCAGACTGAAGGGGGCGCTGTGGAGGGAGGTCCAGCTCTGGCTTTGGCCTCTTCCCCTCTGCAGCGTCCCACCAGGGTCTGCTGGCCCCTGCTCTCCACTATGTCCCTGACAACCTACAGGGTGCAGCCCTGGGCACCTCCGCAGCCTTGGTGGAGACACCGGGGGCTCACCTTCTGGGGTGGTTTTCTAAGAGCTGACGGCTGTGCCGATAAGCATGTAAAAGCATTGCTTAACCTTCCAATAAACCTATCAAGCGAGAAGAATATCCCCACTTAACAAAGAGGCAGAGAGAATAAACAAGGCGCTCCCATTGCTGGCGGAGCCACCCCCCCCCCCCCCCCTGATCCACTGGCAAGGCCGGCACCACGCTGCCGTGCACCCCTCGTGCTGGGCGGGCCTCACTGAGTCCAGTGTTCGCCAGGCTCGTTCCTGCCCCCGGTCCTTGCTCACCACTTCCACCTTCCCCTTCAGAGAGTCCACCAGACAGGCAAGCCCACCAGACACGGCAAGCCCAGCACCTATCTCTGCCTGCTGAGATCCCACAGTCGCACCCCCAACTTGGTCAGGGCACTTTGCTCTGCTGGTCTTCCCTGGGTGTTCCGCAGTTGCCTTGGCCGCACAGTGGGGGGACCGGGCAGGATGGGCCTTTTGTCTGGGATGCTCTGTCCCAGGTCCCGTCCTAGCCCCAACATGCTAACACTGACCTTGCTCTTCCTCCTCACTATGCCTGCTCCCAACGCCCTTGGGCAGAGCCAGGGCTTCCAGCATGTTCCAAGGAGGGGCTCACATGCCCCCGGGAATGCACACACACCAAAGCCACGCAGCTCTTCGGCAGCTGCCTATAACCTTCTGTAACCTTCAGGCCAAAGGCTGTCTATCAACATCCCATCACCCTAGACCCGGAGACCTTGCCCAAGTGGCCCCAGCCTCCTCCTGGGCCCCAAAGTTTCGTCCCGCCCGGCTCTCCCAGTGCCCAGAGCTCAGCACTAACTGGTCCCTCCCAAGGCTGGCCAGGCACCTGCAGGAAGTACGCGCTCATGGGGTCCTCCTTGTTGTCCTCGTTGTAGAAAAGGCCTCCGGCCACGAAGACCTGGTTCTCCTTGGTCACCAGGCTGACGTGGTTCTTGGGGATCTGGGTGGAGAGGGAGGCACAGTAGCACTCGTTGGCTGCCGGGTCGTAGGCCACGGCGCCTTCCTCGCTGATCATGAAGATGAGGTCTTGCAGGAACATGCCGAAGCGCAGCGTGTCATTGAGGATCCCCGGAAGGACGCGTTCCTCCTCTTCCTCCTCCTCCTCCTCCGCCTTGGTGTCGCCGGCACCCTTGCCGGCCTCCTTCGCGCCGGCGGCCTCCTTCCCCTTCTCCGTCTTCTTCTTCTTCTTGCGCAGCGTGGTGAGGCGGCCCTCGTGCGCGTCCTTCACCATTTGCACCTTGCGCAGCAGCTCGGGCTGCGCGCGAACGAGGGGGTGGCGCTCCACGCGGCTCTCCAGGAAGGCGCGCGGCAGCAGGCGGCAGCGCACGCTCTCGAAGACGGTGGGCAGCGCGCGCTGGCGCTCGGCCTGCGCCTCGGCGTCGCCGCTGGCCGCCCAGCGCATCACCGCCTCGAACACCGCCTCTTCCTTCTCCACGTTGAGGCCGTCGCTGGAGATGATGGCGATGAGCTCGTCGGCCGAGAGCCCCAGGAAGTCGGCGTCGCGCGCCACGAGCGTGAAGCGCGCGCAGATGAAGTCGCGCGCGGCCACGGCCAGGCGTGCGCAGTCGAGCAGGAGGCCCAGGCGGAAGACGGCCAGGCAGTTGGCGAGGCACAAGCGCTTCTGCAGGAAGGAAACGCAGATGGTGAAGATGGACGGGATCTGGAAGCGGTGTGCCGCGGCGAACAGGTCCTGCACGCTCGCCTCGTCCAGCGCGATCTCCGACGTGTACAGGTAGTGCAGCACCTGGGCCACCACGTCCGGGGACACCTCCTCCAGCCGCAGCTCGCCCGCGCGCTCCGGCTCGGCCAGGAAGCGCGCCCGGAAGTAGGGGCTGCAGGCGGCCAGCACCAGGCGGTGGCACGGGAACTCGCGCTCGCCGGCACGCACCACGCAGTCCAGGAACTTGCCGTGGTCCAGCATGTCTTTGAGCCCGTCCTGCAGGAGCGTCTGCTGGTACAGCCGCTGCTCCTCTGCCTGTTCCAGGCCCAGCGCCATGGTGGGGGGCGTAAGGGGTCGCAACCGGGCCGGGGCACTCCTCTCTAAAAGAGCGCTGCTCTCCTGCCCCGGGGCGTGCTCAGACTGCGCAGTTGTCTCCCGGGCTATATATAGAGGCGGCCCGGGCCCTGTAAGGCGAGCTGCCCGGCCTCCCGCACATGACGCACGGCAGACAGCTGGGCAGAGGCCCCCTCCCAGGGCAGCGTTGACGAGCCCCCGGGGCTCATGGGATGGGGGTGGGGTGTCTGGGCCTTCCCCCAAAAAGGGGGCCTCCCTCTGGACTCCTTGGGCTAGTGATGGTCTGGGTCTGGGAGACCCCCCAGACCCAGAAGGGGGAGTCTCAGGAGACTTCTTCCGGGGTCTCCTTCCTTCGTGCCTCGTGGACCTATCTGCCAGGCCGCCCCCCCCCCTCCCGACTTCCTCCCTGGGGTTACAGCCGGCTCCAGCCACCCCTGTGTTCAGTATACATGGCATTCCTGCACAGTGAACTTAGACATGGCATACACTCTTGGGCCTTGCTGCCCACCTGTAAGATAGGAAGAGGTTTTCCTGATTCTGCCTGGCCTCTGAGACCCCCCTTCTTGCAAGACAGCCCTTAGGTAAACAAGGGGCTCCTGGGGCAGGGCTTATCTCAGCGCAGCCTCAGTTTCCCCCGTACACAGTGAGGAGGAAGAGGAGTCAGACTCTGCTGAGGTTGAGATGCAGGAGGACAGTGTTAGAGGCGTGTCCTGTGCTAAGGCCTCAGGCGTTCTAGAAAGCTCATTTCCAGGGATTCTGTTGTTGGAGGTGCTGGACCCCAGGGCATTCACGCTCTAGGGAAGCCACATTCCGAATGCTAGTGTTCAAAAAGTAACACCCTAGGAGTTGCATAGTTGAAGACTTTCACTGCCTGGCCACATTGTTCTTGGTCCATACTAGGCGTGGTCTGAGCCTGCCTGGCCTCTGGGACCCTCCACCTTGTCTTCCATCTAAGGGGTCTGGCTCAAAGCCCACCCTACTCTGGACTCCTGACCACCCCCAAGCATGCGCGCACACACACACACACCAGCCTCAGCCACCAAAATTAACTTGTTCCCAAAGTGCCGGAGGCTGCAGCTGTGGTTTAAATTTAGCCCGGGCACATTGGTATGAGTGTTAAGGGGCACTCTCCCCCATCATTCCTCTGAGTCACTTGTTTATAACCGCCGTCTTGCAGGGGGGAGATAGGAGAGAAGACCTCGGGCTGGGCCAGCACTGAGTCACCTCCCCTTTTGTGATCTGAGCAGCGTCATTGCCGGTCCCGACTGTGCCGTGCACCTGACCACCAGCAGGTCCCAGAGGGCCACGGTGGTCCTGTCCCTCTTTGCCTACAGGGCAGGGGCTGGCCCAGGCAGGGCAGGTGGTCAGCTGCCAGCCCAGGCCTGGAGCATGTGTAGTGAGTACCATCAGGAGGGAGGCTGGGCTCCGAGAGCCTCAGCGACTTGTTCAGGTCGCAGAGCTGGCAAGCAATGGAACCAGGCTTCCAGGCAGTCGCGCCCACCTCTGCAGACCACGGGAGTCCCTCCCTCTCTTGCTGCTTTCCAAGAGTTAACAAAAACTTCCAGTGACCATAGGGTCCTTTACCGAAGAGTGGGAGAACAGGCGCAATTGGTTTATATTTACCAAATGTACAGTTAGTTTATATTTATGAAATGACTTACTGGTGTATTTTTGGGTTATGATGGGTCTCATTGTGCTCACTCCCTGCCAGGCACCCTGCTGGAATATTTATCTGTGACTCATTCATTCATCCAGAACCTGCAGTGCAGTGTTCTAGGTGCTGAGGAGTCAGCCTTGAAGGAATCGAGTGGAATTCCTGTCTGTGGACCTTACACTCCTGGACTGGGTGAGTAAGAGGGTCACCCAGGGCTTGGGGTGGTGACAAAGCTGCGTGATACAGGATTGTGGGGGTGGTGACAGGCAGAGCTCGTAACAAATGAGTGGTTAGGATGGACTTGCTGGGAAGAGTACCCAAGCAGCTTCAAACCATGGAGGGGTCCAGGCCGGCACCGCGGCTCACTAGGCTAATCCTCCGCCTTGCGGTGCCGGCACACCGGGTTCTAGTCCTGGTCGGGGCGCCGGATTCTGTCCCGGTTACCCCTCTTCCAGGCCAGCTCTCTGCTGTGGTCAGGGAGTGCAGTGGAGGATGGCCCAGGTGCTTGGGCCCTGCACCCCATGGGAGACCAGGAAAAGCACCTGGCTCCTGGCTCCTGCCATCGGATCAGCGCGGTGCGCCGGCCGCAGCGCGCCGGCCGCGGCAGCCATTGGAGGGTGAACCAACGGCAAAGGAAGACCTTTCTCTCTGTCTCTCTCTCTCACTGTCCACTCTGCCTGTCAAAAAAAAAAAAAAAATACCATGGAGGGGTCCAGGTAAGGGGAGCAGCCTGAGCCAAGGTCCTGAGGCAGGAGAGCACTTAGCTCATTCCAGGAGAGCAAGGAGGTGCGGGGGGCTGCAGCAGTGAACCAGGAGGGTGTGAGAGGAGCGGTAAGGGTGGAGGAGTCTTATGGGGCCGTGTGGACCTCTGTGAGCTTTTCCCTAGAGTGAATTGGGGAGCCATTATTTCTTTTAAACTTTTTGTTGAATGTCAGAGTAATGGAGAGAGACAGAAGAAGATGTTCCATCTGCTGGTTCACTCCCCAAATGACTGCAATGGTTGGGGCTGGGCCAGGCCGAAGCCAGAAACCCCATCTGGGTCTCCCCTGTGGGTGGCAGGGTGCCAGGCGCCTGGGCCATCTTCTGCCTCTTTGCCAGGAGCATTAGCAAGGAGCTGGATCAGAAGTAGAGCAACTGGGACTCGAACCGGTGCAAATATGGGATGCAGGCGTTGCAGGGCGGCAGCTTAACCTGCTGTGCCACTACACTGCCTCCCCCCGCCCCCTAACCCACCCCAGTATAATTTATCTGAAGCTTCATCCAGGCTGTTAACTTGTGTTTTAACAGCTAGCTCCTATCTTCATGAGGATTCTTAGCATGTGGCAGGTCATTGATGAGTTATAGAGGGGGACTGGTGTTGTGGTACAGTGGGAATGCTTGTATCACATATGGGTGCCAGTTCAAATGCCACCTGTTCCACTTCTGCTGCAGCTCCCTGCTGAGTTGCCTGGGACAACAGTGGAAGATGGTCCAAGTGCTTGGACCATCTGCCACTCATGTGAGAGACCTGGATGGAGCTCCAGGCTCCTGACCTGCCTTTCAAATAAAAAAATAGCCTTTTTTTTTTTAATTAAAGAAGAGGTTATGTACAAGAACCAGGTGGAAATTATGGAACTGGGAAATACAGTAACAGGTAAGAACTTGGTGGATGGTCTCAATAGGACAGGGGAGAAGACAGAGAAATAAATAGTAGTGCCCTTGAGAACAGATTAGTAGAATTTACCGAATCTGATCAACAGAGATAGAACAGCAGGGGCCCATGGGGCAATGACAAAGACCCAACATTTGTGCTGTGATCCTGAGAGCAGAGGAAACGGCGGAACTGAAGAGTCACTGAAGTACTAATAGATGGACACTTCTACCATTTCATTAAGACAGACCGTCAGCTTCAAGAAGCTAAGCAAACTCTGGACAGGATACACTCAAAGAAATCCATGCCAAAGCATATCTTAATGAAACTTCTCAAAACCAAAGACAAAGAGAAATTTTGAAAGCAGCCAGAGAGAAATAATACATTGTTATGGGGCAGGGAGTTTGGGAGAACGCCAGTTCAAATGACAGTGGACTTCTCATCAGAACCACGGAGGACAGGAGGAGGCAATACAACATTTTCCAAGAGCAGAAAGAACTATGAATTTTTTTTAAGATTTTATTTATTTGAAAGCAGAGTTAGAGAGAAGCAGAAGCAGAGAGAGAGGTCTTCCATCTGCTGGTTCACTCCCCACAATGTGGCCACAATGGCCAGAGCTGGGCCGATTCGAAGCCAGAAGCCAGGAGTCAGGAGCTTCTTCTGGGTCTCCCATGCAGGTACAGGGGCCCAAGCGCTTGGGCCATCCTCTGCTTTCCCAGGCCATAGTAGAGAGCTGGATTGGAAGTGGAGCAGCCGGGACTCAAACTGGTGCCCATATGGGAAGCTGGCAGTGCAGGCAGTAGCTTTACACCACAGTGCTGGCCCCTCAACCAGAAATTCTATATCCAGTGAAACTTTTTCAGGAAACAAGATAAAACAGTCCTAAAGGTATTACAGGAAAAAATCTAGGAGCTAACAAATGAATTCAGAATGTTAAAAGGTAAGATCAAACTACAAAAAATAAGTTGCATTTATATTTACTACCTTTGAACCTTTAGAAACTGAAATTTTTAAAAAGATTTATGTATTTATTTTGAAAGAGTTACAGAGAGCGAGAGGGAGAGAGAAGAGATCCTCCATCTGCTGGTTCACTCCCCCAGATGGCTGCAGTGGCCAGGACTGGCCCAGGCTGAAGCCAGGAGCCAGGAGCTTCTTCTGGGTCTCCCATGTGGGTGCAGAGGCCCAAGCACTTGGACCATCCTCCGCTGCTTTCTCAGGTGCATTAGCATGGAGCTGGATTAGAAGTGGAGCAGCCAGGACTTGAACTGGCGCCCATATGGGATGCTGGCATTGCCGGCAGTGGCTTTACCTGTTCTGCCACAATGCTAGCCCCTGAAGTATAGATTTACTTCAAGGATAACCTTATTCTATACATGGAAAGGCACAGGCCCCATAATGCTTAGAGTAATCATGACAAGAATAAAATTAGAGAGCTCACTTACCTGATATTAAGGCTTTCTTTATATCGACAGCAATCAAGATTGCCAGGTATCAGAAGAGGAATGGAACATAGACTAATGGTAGCAAGAAGTAGTTACAAATATGCCCACCTGATCTTAGACAAAGGTGCCAAAGCAATTCAGTTGAGGAAGGACAGCATTTTCAACAAATGGTGTTGGAACAGCAACTTATCCACAGGCATAAATGAGCAAACAAACAAATCTCAACCTAAACCTCACAGTTTATGCAGATATCAACTCAAACTGGATCATGAGCTTGAGGTGTAAAATATCTCAAACAGTGTTGAAAAAGAAGAACAAAGTTGAGGGTCTCCTACTTCTTTATTTCAGGACTTACCACAAAGATATAATAATCCAAACAGTGTGGTACTGGCATGAAAACAGACACACAGACCAGTGGAAGGGACTAGAGAGTCTATAAATAAACTCTGCCATTCACAGCTGCTGTGGTTTGAATGCGCGTTGTCCCCTCTGAAAGTCATGCTGGATTTAAATCCCCACTGTGAGCTATTCAGAGGCCGGAAATCCAGCTGTGCTACTGAGAGGTAGGGCCTTTGGAAGGTGATTGGGATTGGATAATGTGTCCATCGCATGGGGCCCCCATGATTGAATCCTTGTGACTTCCCAAGAAGAGGGAGAGAGGAGAGGAGACACATACTCGTGCTTACTGTCTCTGCCAGGAAGAAAGCCATTGCCAGACTTATCCCCTTGACCTTGGGCCCAAACTACGAGCCAAACTAAACGTCTTTTCTTTGTAATTTACTCAGTCTGTGGCATCGTTTCGTGAGCTGAGAATGGAGCAAGGGAGCAGTCAGATGTTGTTCAGCAAGGATGCCCAGACCACGCAGTGAAGAAAGAAGAGTGCTTTCAACACATGGCTCCAGGAAAACACTGCCTACTTGCAAAAGAATGAAGTTTGACCCTTCCTTTATACCAGTTACAAACATTAAAGGTAAGAGTATACGATAAAATCAGAAAGCTTTCAGAAAAAAAAGCACAGGGAAAGCTTCATGACAGTGTATCTGACAGTCTCTTGGCTAAAAAAAAAAAAAAAGCACAGATAACAAAAGAAAACAAATGGATAGCTAAAGCAGAACAAAAAACCCTGATTTAAAAATGAGCAAGGCAGGTCAGCTCATTTTTATTGGTATTGCAGGAAAAACCACCGCCTGTAACACTGGCATCCCGTATGGGCACTGGTTCGAGTCCCTGCTGTTCCACTTCCAATCCAGCTCCCTGCTAATGCACCTGGGAAAGCAGCAGAGACTGGCCCAAGTGCCTGGGCCCCTGCCAACCATGTCAGAGACACGGATAGAGTTCCTGCTTTCTGGCTTTGGCCTGGCCTAGCCCCGGCTGTTGCAGCTATTTAAAGAATAAACCTGTAGATAGCAGATTTCTGTCCCTCTCCTTCTATTAGCATTTCAAATAAATCGTCAAAAAAAAGAGAGAACATCCTGTCTTTCCTGTTCTGTAGAAGGGGACTTGCGCTGTCCCTGAAGGGCTGGATTGTGGTGCCTCTTTGCTAGAGTTGTGTTTTTTTTTTTTTTTTTTAATGAATTTGAGTGGCAGAGTTATAGACAGGAGGAGACAGAGAGAGAGGTCTTCCATCCACTGGTTCACTTCCCAAATGGCCAAATGGCCAGAGCAGAGCCAACCTGGAGCCAGGTGCCTCTTCCAGGTCTCCCACATGGGTGCAGGGGCCCAAGCACTTGGGCCATCTTCTACTGCCTTCCCAGGCATATTAGCAGGGAGCTGGATTGGAAGTGGAACAGCTGGGACTTGCACTGGCACCTGAATGGGATGCTGGTGCTGCAGGTGGAGGCTTTAGCTACTACGTCACAGTGCTGGCCCCTTGCTATACTTTGTGGCCACCCAGCATTGTCTGGACAGCATTTTCCTGATTGAAAATGCATTGTGAGGTTCACTCCCTCCCCAAGGGAGAAGACATAACTTGTTTTCCAGCTTGCCTTGGAGCTAAGGTATGAACATGTAACCTGGATCTGTCAATAAGGTACTCCCATGCGAGATTTTGGTTCAGAGGGAGGGAAGCAAGCATCCCTGGGACTCCAGTATTCCATGGATGTAGCACCGGGGGTGCTTGGTGCTGTGGGAGCGGTGGAGGCAGAGTTTCCTGTGTGTAGCCCGCCCTGTGCCATTGGGTCCCAGCCATGGTGTCAGCCACAGCTCCCTGGGGTGAGTGCCCAGCTGGATCACCTTGGAACTCAAGTCTCCAGTTCTCTGGGAGATTTAATTAACACCTTTGCACCGAGTGGGGCTCTGTTGTCTCCAGCCAACAGCCCTGGTTCACTCCTGGGTGTCACCACACACCCAGCTTGGTTTGAGTGGAGGGGGGTGGCATTGTTCAGTGCTTGGAGAGCATGGCTGGTGGCAGCAGGCAGACGTGGGTTTGAATCCCGGCTCCACCACTTTCTGGCCACCTGCAGGTGGCTCTTGCTCACTGAGCCTCCACTTGCTCCAGTCCTTAGCCATCTGGGAAAGGTGGGACGAGGTCTGGCCATAGTGTTTTCCAGAGGCCGTCTCGCCAGCTGGAGTAAGGCAGAGTGAGGGGCTGAGACGCTCAAGATGGGATCTTGCCCCGCAGGTGCTCCTCCCCTGCAGGTGTGGGAGGCGGCTGGATGCTGCCCCCCCCCACCCTTCACAGGCTCCACTGCTTTGTGTGGGAGCTGAGGAGGTTCACCCCGCCTCCAGCCAGCCAGAGCCTTGGGGGCACTGCTCTTCCAATTTACACTGACCCTCCAGAGATGTTAAAAACCAGCTCCCTGGGTGGTTTAGACAGCACGTGGCATGCCTGCATCCCCAATCAGTGGAATCCCAGGTTTAAGTCCTGGCTCCTCTGCTTCCAGTCCAGCTTCCTGCCAATGTGCACCCTAGGAGGTGGCGCAAGGACTTGGGAGGCCTGCACTGAGTTCTGAACTCCTAACTTCAGCCTGGCCCAGCTCCTGGCTGCTGCAGGCCTCTGGGGTATGAACCAGCAGATGGGAAGTCGCTGTCTCTTTGCCTAAAAGGCAGAGGGGAGACTGCTAGTTCTGAGCATCATTTTAAAGAGACCCAAGGAGAAGACACTGCTGCCCTCCAGTAGATCCAGGTCCCCTCTCCCTGTAGCCACAAAGTAGCACTGCATTTCCCCAGCCCCTGGCATGGTCACAGCGCTGCTGCAGAGAGAAGTGGCTGAATCCCTAGGACCAGTGCATAGTTCCCCACCCTGTGTCCTCCCTGCCTCGTCACTCGAGAGGCCCATGCTGACCTGAAGGCGCCCCTTGGTCAGAGCTGCTGCATGGGGAACGGCTGCCCAGAGCCACTGACATCTGGAGATGGTTTGTGGGCCACAGCAGAGCCCAGCCTGCCCACGGCTCAACACAGCCAGGCCCAAGGGCGCCGCTAAGTCAGGGGTGCCTCATTCCCCGTCTCATCGGCCCATTTTCTTTTTCTTTCTTTCTTTTTCTTTTTTTTTGGACAGGCGGAGTGGACAGTGAGAGAGAGAGACAGAGAGAAAGGTCTTCCTTTGCCGTTGGTTCACCCTCCAATGGCCGCTGCGGCCAGCGCGCTGCGGCTGACGCACCGCGCTGATCCGATGGCAGGAGCCAGGTACTTATCCTGGTCTCCCATGGGGTGCAGGGCCCAAGGACCTGGGCCATCCTTCACTGCACTCCCTAGCCACAGCAGAGAGCTGGCCTGGAAGAGGGACAACTGGGACAGAATCCAGCGCCCCGACCAGGACTAGAACCCGGTGTGCCGGCGCCGCAAGGCGGAGGATTAGCCTAATGAGCCGCGGCGCTGGCTGGCCCATTTTCTTTAGACAACGGTGCTGGGACCGCACCTCTACTGGGGAGCTGCTTGGCCCCGAAGAGCAAAACTGGGGAAAGTGCGTGCTGCAGAGGTGCCAGCCCCAGTGCCCACCACTCACAGCCCACCAGTGGCCTCTGCCCATCACCCAGCATGCCAGGTGCCCAGACTCTGGACAGTGCAGCTGATCTGTAGAAAGGCAGGAGGCAGAGCCCTGCTCTCAGGAGAGCGAGGCAGCAGCAGGTCCCGAGGGCTGGCAGTGAGCCTTGATTTCAGGGTGTCTCCTAGTCACTCACTTTTCAGTCCAAGGCGTGGGACTGGGCAGAGAGGCTGCGTCAACATCCTAGGAATCTCCCAACATGTCCGCCCACAAGGTCTCCGTCTGCCTGCCCCTGCGAGGTCCCATCTGACCTCTGTCTGTCTCCAGGGGTAGGGGCCTCATTCACCACCAGGGCCTAGAATTCCATCAGCCAAGAAGGGGCTCCACATACACAGGGAAATTCACACAAAATGTGGATGATGAATAAAACCCTGCACTGCTTTCAAAAATTGTAGGCACCAAACTAACCTATCTTTTAACTCCCCTTCTCCATGGATAACTCGAAGGCCCCTGTATCACCTGTTTCTGATTCAGCTTCCTGCCAGTGCACACCCTAGGAGGCAGCAGGTGATGGCTGAAGTACTTCGGTCCCTGCCACCCGTGTAGGAGACTTAGATTGAGTTCGGGGCTCACTGGCTTTGGCCTGGCCCAGATCTGGCTGTTGTGAGCATTTGGGGAGTGAACCAGTGGGTGGAAGTGCTCTCTCGCTGACTTTCAAATTAAATGGAAACACGTATTTTTACAGAAATAAAAAGCAGTAAGATAGGGAGGAGTCTGTGGACGCTGCAGGCACAGGTGTCCACACACCACCCTTGCTCAGGGCAGCGAGACGTAAAGAAGAGGCAGGGCCAGGGGGCAGCAGTTGTACTAACTTTATTCCCTTCATGCTTCTCACTCGGTTGCCTGCTGTCCCGTGCACTCGGGGGCTGGGCGGGGGGTGCCGCAAATACGTGATCAGACATCAAGGACCCACGTGCCTGGGGGTGGTCCTTCTGCCACCCCCAAGCCCCACCCTGTGAAAGGCCTGTGGAGCCAGACAGGGACAGAGGCTCAGACCCCAGCCCTGTGGTCACTGGGCTTGGGGCTTGCTCATCATTCTAGCCACTCCCCCTAAGCTGGTCCAAGACAAGGAGTGCCCAGGGCAGCTGGGGCCCAGACAACAAACCTGGGGTCTGGCTAAATGGGCTGGGAAGTCCAGCCCCAGAGAGTGGCCCGGCAGATCTCCATGGGTGGTGGCTGTGTTGCCCCAGTCCCCTCGATCTAACATCTGAGTGCTCAGGAATTTGTCTCACAAATAAGGAAACGTAAAAGCTGGTAGGACAAGAACCCCCGTCCACAGCGGCTCTGCCGAGGTTCTGTTATTGCTGCTGGCCTTGTGGTCGGCCTGGAAAGGAGTTCCCTCCCAGGCTGGCCCAAGATGAAGAGAGTGTTTAGCACCAGGGACGCAGAGGCCTCCCAGGGGAGGGGCAGACCAGGCACAGCTCCAGTAACTGTCTTGGTCAGTGCCCAGCCTAATGTCTGGGCCGTCTGCCTGCCCCCCAGGAGGGCCATGAACAAAATGGGAAACCAGGGCCTCACACATGTCTTTGACTTCTGCCTGGTGATGGATGGCCTGACCAGGGTGCCTGTGGCCCACTGAGGCTGCAGTGGGACCACCAGGTGACAAGGCCACCAGCCCCTATGAGTGATGCCAGGGACAGGAGTTGGAGGACCCATGGCAATCCTGCCTGTAGCTCACCGGGGGAGATCAATTTGGTGGTGGTAGGGGGGAGATGTGAACCAGCCCTGATGAGATGCCCAGCACTGGGACCAGAGATTAGAAACAGCAAGGGGGGAGGGGAGACCCTGAGGACATCATGGAAGCCCAGAGATCAGGGGTTACAGGACAGAACAAGAGCCACAGTAACCAGGAGCCTGGTACCCCCCCCTCCAAGTCTGGAGGTGAGGGATCTGCAGAGTCTGGAGTCAGACAGAAAGCTCCCTGTTTGGGGAGGGGCCCACCTTCTCTCCCCAGGAACAGCAGGGGTGCCTGAGGGTGGGACTGCAGGCTCTGGGTTTTAGGGTTCCAGTCTCAGCCCCCATCCTCAGCCAGGCCAGGGAGGCAGCTGGCATCAACCCCCTCCCAGCCCACAGGACAACCAGGGTGGTGTGGCTTGGGTTATAAAATCCTCACATCACTTGGGCACTTTGGGCCTGCCCACATCTGTACAGAATAAAGTGCTTTGTTTATTGATGATTAAAATGTCCCCAGCCCCCAGGGCCTCCCAAGGAGGTCGGAGGGGTTCGGTCCCCCTCGCCCACCAGCCCCCTTGAGCCCAGGCCTCTTCCCACTCCGGCCATGCTGGGAAGGTGCAGCGTGGGGGGCAGGGGGCGGGGCGCAGCTGGGTGGTAAGGTGCAGAGTATAACGAACAGAACCGTATCAACACAACAGGAAAGAGCTTAACTAGGAGACATGTAGCTTATGGAACCTCCCTCCCCATTTCAAAGGCAGGAATAAAGACGTTAAATGACAACCAAAAAAAAGGGGGGGGGGGATCCTATTAGTGCCAGCCTCATAGGGGCAAGTATGGGGCAGAGTCTGGGCCTCCCCCACAACCCCCCGCAGCCTGAACACGCAGGCTTCTCTCACTGTCCACCACTGCAGAGGCCTGCGAGGGACGAGGACACTGGGGCTGGCTGGGGGCAGGCTGTGGCCAGGTCTAGGGGGGAGGATGAGGCCTGGTGCTGGCCTCTAGAGATCAGAGACGGACATAAACGCACACATCTCCTTCTGGCATGGGGGACACGGCCAGGGTGGCTGGTGAGGGAGAGGGGTGCTCTGTGGACAGCAACCCTGTCCTGGCCCCACTGGTAGCACCTTGAAACCCTAAAACACGCGCCCGAGTCTCCCCCCTGAGTCCCTGTGCCTGGGGTCCAACCAGACTGCCCAGCAAAGGCCTGCCCCAGAAGCTTCTGGGGATGTCTTGCCCAGGGCTGGAGGGGTGGTGGGGAGAAGCAAACCCCTGGGGGCCAGCCCCCGCCCACCCCACTCCAGGCAGCAGAGCTGGGTGAGCAGTTATCAACCTCCCCACTCCTACCCAACAGGATCCTGGGCATCCAGCCTCAAGGTCTGTCTGGGTGTCTGCAGCCCTCAGCCTGGGTCCACGACTCCTCCACGGGCACCCCCCAACCTGCCCGTGGTGCAGGAGCAAGTTAGGGGCACAGAGGAGGTGGGGATGAGCCACTGAGACCGACCGAGGCGCAGCCTGGCTCAGGCCTCCGCAGAGTGGCCGGCCAGGCCTGCTGCCTCCAGCACCCCCTCACCTGGAGGGGGGGCGCCGCGAAGTTTCCTCTCTTTTCTTTTTCCTATGCTTACCAAAATTAGGGGGGGTTACCAAAAAGAAAAAGTAAGAGGAGTGGCAGAACAGAGGACACTTTGCAGGTGTCCTCCAGAGCCAGAGCCTGTCCAGCCGCTTCCAGGGCTGGGGCAGCAGCCCTGGCCTATGCTGCGGCCCTCCCCAAGAAAGAGGGGAGGGCGGTGAGTCCCTCCTGGAGCGGACCCCCTGGGCTCCCGGGCGCAGCAGGTGCAGTCCAGCTGTTAGTTGCTGGCGTTCAGCCTGCCGCCAGCGTTGGCCGTGTTGGGGAAGAGTGGCGGCGGGGGCGGCAGGTGAGGTGGGGGCGGCAGGGTCTGGGGCAGGCCCGAGAGCAAGGGCAGGGCGTGGGCCGGGGCCTGGGCCTGGGCAGGCGGCAGGCCGGGGCCGGCAGGCGGCGTGTCGCTGGCCAGCGGGTGGCTGACGCGGAAGCACTTCTCCTTGTGCGCCTTGAGCATGTTGGAGAAGCGGAAGCGCTGGCCGCAGACATCGCAGGGGTACGGCTTCTCGCCGGTGTGCGTGCGCCGGTGGCGCTTCATGTTGGGCCGGCTGGTGAAGCTCTTGCCGCAGATCTCGCAGATGTAGGGCTTCTCCCCTGCGGGGCGGGCGTGGGCGTGGGCGGCGGGCTGTCACTAGGGAGGCGCCGCACCCCAGCCCAGGCGCGCGCTGAGCCTCCCCAGCCAGAGCCAGCCCTCACCCGCAGGAGTCTCAAAGAGAAGGGTAAACAGGCCGGATGGGAGAAGGGGTGTGGCCGGGCCTCGTGGGGCGCCCCCCTCCGCCCCGCCCCCGTCCCAGGAGGCGGCGCACCTGTGTGGGTCTTCATGTGCTCATCAAAGTACTGCTTCATGTTGAAGTCCTTGCCGCACCACTGGCACATGAACTGCTTGTGGCCGATGTGGATGCTCATGTGTGAGCGCAGCTGGTACTTGTACTGGAAGCGCTCGTTGCAGTTCTGGAGGCGGGGTGAGGGCCCAGGCACAGCATAAGAGCAAACAGCTCCCAGGGTCAAGAGTGGACACACATTGGGGGGGGGCGGGGCTCCCGGGCAAGGGGGTAGGGAGGGTAGAGGCGTGAGGACCAGCCGAGGGGGCTTCAGGGGCTGACCACGCATGCACCTGCAGAGAGCCGGGTCATCCCCACCTGCAGCTCTGCTAGCTGTATCTGGAATCTCCCCTGCCGGGGGTGGGGGTGGGGGGACACCTCTCCCCGCCCCAAGGCTCCAGCCCATGCAGACTTTGCATCCTGAATGTCTGGGGCTGGGTCAGGGCATGGGAAGAGGGCCCGGCCAGCGGCAGTGGGAGGGCCTCTCTCCTGGCTCCTGCTTTACAGCAGCTGCCGCCCTGCTTCCCGTCCACGAGGTGGGCAGGGGTCCAGAGCTCACCTCACATCGGAAGGGCTTCTCCCCAGAGTGCTGGAGCGAGTGCACCTTAAGCGACATGCTGCGCTTGAATGACTTCCCGCAGGTCTCGCACGTGAAGGGCATGTCCTTGGTGTGGGCTACAGGGTGGACACCGTGGCCGTCACGTCTCAAGGCCTGCCTGAGCATCCCCACGCTGGGCCCAGACCAGCAGGCCTGGGCCACCCTTCTTCCCTGGGACTGACCCTCCACACTGTCCAGGGCTGCTTCCTGGGGAAGACCCCTTCACACAAGGCTGGCTCAGTCAAGTCATGGTTCTTTGGCTTCTGGCCAAAGCAAACAGCCACAGCCGCCTTGCCTCAAAGCTTCGAGGAAAGATGGAAGGACCCTGGGTGGGACTGGCCTCCCCTCAAACCCTAGCCCCACCACTGGCTTCTCACTTAATCGGGATGCACAGCCGTGTGCCAGCTGGATTCTGGTTCCCACCTGGCATCTGATCCAGACGCCCTCGTGCAGTGTACAACTGGCCCAAGTGTGCATGGCAGCCCTGGCCCAAGCCACCTGCCACTGCGGCCTGCCTCCCCGGGCCTCCCAGCTCACCCCTTTACACTGCCCTTGGACATGAAGTCCTTGCTGGCACCAGCCAGGAGCTGGCGTGCCTCGGTCCTCTGCTCTGCCCCCAGCAGCCAGGCTTACCGACCATGTGCTTGCGCACGTGGGCCATGGTGTAGAACTTCTTCTCGCAGATCTCGCACGAGAACTTCTTCTCCGCGTAGCCGTGCACGATCTTGTTGTGCTCATGGAGGGACCAGAGCTTCTTGAAAGCTTTGCCACATGTCACACACTGCAGGGCGAGACAGCGTCAGTCCCCCGGGCTGAGGCAGGACCCTTCCCCAAGTCGCTGCCCCTCTCTGGACTCAGTTTCCCCACGTGAAACATGCTGGGCCCTTGATCCAAGGACCAGCCCGATCTGATGCTCCTACATTGAGGGGAGGGGTAACTCCGAACACTTAACCCACCCACACACCACGACTACCACCTGGGACCCTCCTTCATCCTTGAACTCAAGTGGGATCAGGGGTCATCGCTTCCGTGGGGCACAGAGTGGGACATTAACACTGCTGCCTCCCCCTGCTGGAACCTGTGCCCTGACACCAGACATCCCCAAGGGGATGGAGCACAACGGGACTGGCTGGGGAGGACTACCAGAGGTTCTGGGGAGCCATCAGGCAAGGAGAGGCTGGGAAGGGCCGTGGGGACCACAGCCCCCTCCTCCATTCTCCTGTTTCTCTCTTCAGGACACCCCATGGAGGTGGGAGGCAAGGGCTTGGGCAGAAACTGGGTCAGGGTACCCATGTCAGAAGGGACATAAGCTTCTCTCCACCTTCAAGAGGGAGGCTCAGCTGTTCAGCAGGTGGAGCGTCCAAGGGCACTCCAGAGGGCAGGCAAGTGGGAACAGGTGCGTGAGGGTGGGGCAGGTTACCAGGTAACGCCCAGGTAACACTTTCTCCGCCGGGTGCTGCAATTAGCAATTAGCTTGGGCAATTAGCACCCGCCTACCTGCCAGCCTTCCCTTCTTCTCCTGGGCCAGAGAAGGTGAAAACCACCTTTGGGGACCCTGGCTGGTCCCCTGAGAGGTGAGGCTGCCACAAACACACTGGCAGCCAGCCCAGCTCCCCTGTTTGGCCCCAGCTTTTCCCAAATTTCTCAACCAATCCCTTTTCCCCAGGCCCCGGCCAGCTGGCATCTCCAAACAGCTGACTGCAGGGACCTCCTCCTGCTGGGCTGCCCTCTGCTCCATAAAGCACCTCTGTGGGAAGTAGCAAATGGTACCCGCCTCTGGGCAAGCCCCTCCTCCCTTCCTGTGGACTTTTGTGCAGTGCGCAACCTGTGAAACAACCCGCCGTGGCCCTGCTGGCCTCCCTGCAGCCTGACGGATGTTAAAACGCGGTCCGACTCCTCCCTCCCCAGAGCTGGCTGGCCCCGGGCCTCTGCTGCTCGGACGACTCCCCACGTTCATCCTGTGTCCCCATTCTCCTTCACTGCCCTGGCCAAGGGCACTCACTGTCGGGTCACAAGTCCTCCCTGTGCCAAAGCCCAGCCTCTGCCCCTCTCCTTCGCACTGACGGCCTGGGCCTGGGCAGGCCGGGAGCCCCGAGCGGCCCACCTGGATGTTGCGCTCGCAGTCGGTCTGCCGGTGCAGCAGCAGCTCACTCTCCAGCAGGAAGCGCTTGCCGCACTGGTCGCAGATCTGCATGCGGCTGTGGGTCACGTTCATGTGCTTCTCCAGGTACCAGCGGTTGTTGAAAACCCGTGGGCACTTCTGGCAGGGGTGGTGCTGCTTCTCCTCCAGCTTCACCTTGGCCCCCAGCCCGTCGGGGGCTGCCGCGGACACGACCCCCGGGGGCGGCTTGGGCCGCTTCCCACCCCGCCGCCCGGACTCCCCGGGCTCAGGGCTGCCCCTGCGCCGAGCACTCTCCCGGGACCTCGTGGCCATGCGGCTGTGGGAAGGGGGCTCTGCTTGGCCGCTCCGACGGCCCCCGGGGCCTGCAGGGCCCTGCCTGGCCCCAGCCTCCCCCTCCTCCTCCTCTTCCTCCTCCTCCGAGCTCTCTGGATCCTGCTCGCTGTGCCCTTCCTCCTCCTCCTCTTCCTCTTCCTGCTCACTGTGCCCTTCCTCCTCATCTTCCTCCTCTCCAGGACTACCACCCTCTTCCTCCTCCTCTTCCTCTTCCTCCTCCTCCTCCTCGCCCCCACCACTGCCACCACCCTCCTCCTCCTCTTCTTCCTCCTCCTCCTCCTCTTCGTCCTCCTCCTCCTCCTCCTCTGAGTGTCTCTGCAGCCCGTCCTCCCGGCCCAGAGCCATGGCGGCTGGGCTGGTCCCAGTGCCCGGCTTCCCCTCGGGGCCCGTGGACACGTGCAGTGTCTGGTTGTTCAGGTTCACCTCCACGATGATCTGGGACTGCTCCTGGCGGCTGTAGGCGCCAGGACCCCCGAGCTCTTCTTCCAACTCCTCCCCACCCTCCAGCTTGCACAAGCCAGTAGGGGGCCCGCCAGCCTCCTCGCCGCCACCTTCCTTCTCCTCCTTGAAGAAGGGCTGGGCCGACCCGAGGGCAGCAGGCACTGTGCCCTCAGTGGTCCCCGCTCCGTCCTCAACGCGCACCGAGTAGGGGTCGGGGCCCTCGCGGGCGTAGATCTTGGGCAGGCCGGGGGCGTCGGCCTCCTGCTTGATGTCGCAGTAGTAGGACGGTGCAGCGGGGGTGCAACTGGCGGCTGGCTGGGCCAGGGCCACGGTGCCGGGGCCCGGCGGGCCTAGGGAGCGGGCATCCAGCAGTTCCTGGCAGGACGCGGCGATGTCGGCCATCTGCAGCAAGGAGGCAGCGCTGAGCACCTCGTGGACGTTGGCTGCGTTGACCAGCAGCTTGGACGTGTAGATAAAGTTGAGGATCTGTTGCAGGCCTCCCGGCGCCAGCGCCTCCAGGGACAGCTCCACGCGCTGCAGCTGCTTGTTCTGGGTGAAGAGCGAGTGGAAGAACTGGCTGTAGGCGGCCAGCACGCCCTTGTGCGCCGGGAAGACGCTGCGCTGGGGCACCAGCACCAGGTCCACGTCGCAGAGGTCGGGCTGGAAGAGCCGCTGCTCGTTCAGGCGGCCCATCAAGCAGGCGAAGTGCAGGGCCACGTCCTCCACCAGCGAGAACTCCGCCGCTGGTGAGTCGGTCGTCTTCTCAACCAGCAACTGTGGGGATGGCATTGAGGGTCAAGGGCAGCACCGCCGTGGGGGAGGCGGCCTGCCCCTCCCGGCCCCACCTCCCAGACAAGAAAGCGGGGCTCTGGGGGACTCAGGTCTACCCCAGCTGCCCCTCCGGGTGCATCCTCTGGTCGACCATGAGCCGGCATCCCAGGCGGCAGGATGGTGCGCAACCCAGAAGGCTGCAGAGACCTTTAGGTGGAAAGCCCAGCCCGGGGCCTGTCACTTCTCCCCTCCTGCCCTGTGGAGGTCGCGAGACCCAGACAGCCCCAGTAGCACCTGGGCCTGCAGCTGTCACCTGTACCAAGCTTGTGAGCAGCCAGGTGCCTGGGGCCCGTCCCAAGCTCTTTTCCCTCAAGGCCCCCAGGTCCCAGGTCAGGTGCAGTTCAGGCCCAAAGGCTCTGAGACAGCCCCATTTGGGGTGGCCCTGCCACTCAGGGGGTGGGGGGTTCTCTGGGGGAGGCCCTGGAAGTCTGATGGATCAGATGGGTCAGCTGGGTCCCCAAATGGCAACCGTGCACACAGCATGTTCAGTACCTGCCAACTACCTGCCTGGCTGGCCCAACCCCATGGGTTCCAGGGTCCAGTTCTTCTCAGCCTGCCCATAGTCACAAAGCTGACCAGCTGCCCCTGCCAGCAGCCCCCTTGGGGTTCTGGGATGAACTTGGTCTCGTCCACCCACAGCCCCACCCCACCCCCTGCCGCTAGTCTGCTGGCGTGGTAGGCCCACACTGGGCAGGGAGGGCCGTGTCTGGGGTCCACAGCTCCTCCACCACCTGAGGACAAGCCTTCCTAGGCCTCAGGAGGAGCCTTACTGGAGCCTGCAGACCTGCCCTGGGCCCAATCTGGCAGGCTCCTGCCCACGGATGCCATCTTCCTTGAGTTAGACACCACCATGTATACCCCTCTGTCCCAGGGCTGCTAGCTTGTCCAGGCCTGGCCAACGTGACTCACACCCGGCACCAAGCCCCCTCCGGCCCCTTCTCTGACTGATCCTCTGGACCAAGCCCTACTGCACAGCGGGGGAAACTGAGGCTCAGAACGGGAGGGTCCCACACACCACAGCCCTGGCCTCCCGGCTCTGCAAGGATGCCACGTCCTCGCTAGGCTGGATGCTGCCGTCTAGGACCCCCTCCCCCGCCCCACCTGGAGACCAGCTGGGCTTCTCCAAGCCTCTGCACCTGTACGTCAGAGAGAGGTCAGGGTATGCGGGGTTGAAGAGGTGCTCCACGTAAGGGCGGCGAGGAAAGTGGCCTGGACAAGCTGGCTGAGGCCAGGCCTGCTGGGGAGCTCACCTCAGGCCGCAGGGCCCCTGGCCTCTCCGCCCTCCTTCTCTGGAATGCCTTCCAGTGCCCACTGCCTAGGGAAAGGGCAACCTTCCATGAGCACACCTGGCCCTGGCCCTCCGGCCTCAGGCGCGTGACCTGCCCCTGTTGCAAGCAGGAGCCCTAGCCAAGCCAGCACCACCCCCTGGCAGCCCCTCATCCTTGGCTGCCTGCGCCCCTCCCAGGGCAGGGCACAGGGATGCCTCTCAGGGCCCTGAGCAGCAGCCCCTCCCACCAAGGGCCCACCAGCTGTGCTGGCCTCCCTGGGCCAGATGTGCCAGTTCTCTGAAGCCAGGGACGCCTCCCCACCCCACAGACGGCTCTGCCAGCTGCAGCCACACACGCCACCCCAAGCCTCGGGCACTGCAGGCTGGTTGAGCCGCAGGACCAGGGAGGTGGTCAAGCCCACGGGTCATCGGCGGGTTCCCGTCCTGAAACCCTCTGTGGGAGTCAGGCTGGGAGGGGGCCCAGGGACACCTGCTGGGGCTGCTCTGAGGACTCCACACCTGGCGGGTACCTTGTCTCACTGGCAGGAAGCCGCTGGCTCCCACCTGCGCTCCCAGCCTCCCTGGAAGGCCTGGTGAATGAGCCCTGCGCGCCCGCGTCCCTCTGCACCCCCCTGACTCCCACCCCCAAGCCTTTCACCGCGGTCCAGCAGTGGGGGGCCCCGGGCTGGGCGAGGGGGCACAGGCTCGTGACCTCCAGGCTCCTCCTTCTGGGGAAAAGGGTGACCGCGTTCTCCAGCCACCCCTGCTTCCCTGGGAAACAGATCCAGAGAGGGAGGAGGACCGGCCAAGGTCACACAGGAGTTTGGACCAGAGCTCCGGGAGCCCCCTGCCCTCGGCCCGGGGCCATCCCGAATCCCCAGGCGGGGCGGCTTCGGCGCCCACGTGGCCCAAGGCCCGGGCGAGAATCCGACTCCCCCTTCCCCCTCAGAACCCAGCCCGAGGGCGGCGCCGTCCCGGGCGCAGGGAAGCGCCCCCCTCCGCCCGGGCCGAGCAGGACCTCAGCCTCGCGCGCCGGCGCCCCCACCCCAGGAATTTAACCCCCTCCCTGCCGAGCGCCGCGCCACGGCGCCGCATTCCTGGCCCGCGGGAACCCTGCAGTTGGGGACGCAAGGACGGGGGCGAGGCGAAGATCCCCGCAGCCCCTCCCCCCGAGCCGGCAGGCCGTGCGCTCCTGGGGGCAGAGCTGGCAGGTGGGCGGATAAGCGGGGGGACAGGCAGGGCCCTGCGTACCATGGTGCCGTGGCGCTGGGGGCTCACAGGGCCCCGCGGGATCGCGCTGCCCCCGGCGGCCAGGCCCGGGCCGCTCCATGAAGCGCCGCGCTGGGGGCCGCCCCCGCGCAGGGCCCCGCGACCATGGCCCCCGGGGGCGCGGCCGGGCGGGCGGAGGCGCAGGGCCGCGGCGAGTCCAGCGCCGAGCAGCTGCGGCCCCAGAGCCTCGGGCGCGGCGGGCGGGGGGCGCGGGGCGCCGATTGGAGCCCGCGCGTCAGCTGGGGCCGCCGTCTGGACGCTTAAAGGGCCAGGCCGCCCTGCGTGCCGGCGGGGGGCGCGGACACGCGTGGTGTGCGGCATGCCCGTGAGACGCCCCCTCCCCCGCTCCGCGCCGCAGGCCTCCGCCCCCCCCCCCAAGCCAGACCCCAGGGCTCACATCCGAGCAGAGGGACCCCGTTTCCACCCTCCCGAGCAGAGCCCCCTTTCTCCTAGGAAGTTCGTCCGGGAGTCTAACCTCGGTGCCCCCAGGCTGCGCCACGGAGGCGGGGCCCGGGTAGGAGGCCGCGGGGAAATCGGAAAGCGGGGTGTTCCGGCCCCTGCAGCCTGCTGCGGAAAAGGCTTCCCGCCGGCCGCTCGGAGCGAGCGCATCGCAAGGGACTGAACCCGGCCATGCTCTCCACCCCAGTCCTCTGGCCTCCGCCGCTCTGACCTGGGGGTGAGTCTGGGGTCTCGGGATCAGTTCTGCTCCCTGTCTCCAGGACTCGGTTCCCGTGGACCCTACCTACCTGGTGGCCTCCTCTGGCTGCACAGGACTGCCCAGGGAAGGAGCCGTAAGAACCAAGACCACAGCTGCAGGGATCAAGGTGGCTGGCCCCGGGGCCAGGGGATGGCGGGACCTGAGGCCCAGGCCCCACGGTCCCCCTCGGCCGTGGGACCACTGCGATGGCCTCCCTGCTTGCCTGCCTGGGCTGTGTCGGGGAGCTGCTGCCAGCCTTGCGGAATGCTGCTCTGGCAGGGACAGCCGTGGGGGCAGGGGGCTGGCGGTCCTGGCAGGCTGCAGAGGAGTGCTGCCAGGCTGAGCCGGCCGGAGGGTGGGGACCGTGGGGCCCTGGGCCTGACCCGGTGCAGGTGGCGCCTGGGCCACCCCTGGGGGGTGGGGGGCTCCGAGGGCCTCCTGTGTGACCACGTCATCAGATACCTTTTCTGCATGCACCGTCTCTAACCCGAGCTTGCTGTCCCAGGTTGTCGGTCACTCTCACCACATCTCCCTGGCCCGTGCACCTGTGCTTACGTCCAAGGGCAGGCCCAGCCGCTTCGATGTCCCCTGGGTGTGCCTAGATGCCAGGGGAGGTTGTGCAGCAGAGTCTGGGGTCCTGGGCAGGTGTCCTGGAACAAGCTGATGGTGGGAATTGCGCAAGATTTCGTTCGAGTGGCTCGCCTGAGGTCTGAATGAGGGGAGGCCCCTGCAGCCAGGGCCATCTCAGGGGCAGAGATGAGGTGAACAGAGTGCCAAGCGCCAGGGGAGGGCGAGGAGGGACCTTAGAGGAAGAGAGATGCGCAGCCCAGGGCTGGGGTGTGTGGGAGGCACCCCCCCCCCCCCAGCAGCCGCGTGGGTGTGCAGACAGCACTGCTGGGCTCCTGGAGGCCCCAGGCTGAGGCCAGGCCAGGGTGTCACCCTCGTTCCTCCACAGTGCACTTCCTCCTCTGACTCACCATGGCTCCTGGCATTGGCTTGCAAGGTGGTGAGGGAGGGACTCGGTGCCCATTGGCTGGACAGGGACACTGAGGCCCAGAGCGGGACAGATCACTCAGTCCGGCATCGGCATCAGGAGCCAGGGAAAAGGAAATCTTGGCGAAAGAGATGCCGCCTCCGAGGGCTGCCGGGAGCACTCCTGGGCCCACTTGCCAACAAAGCTGGCCGGTGAGACCAAGGTAAGAACACCGGCTTGTTTGTGACGGTAGTTGGGCTGGGGGGGAGGGCTAAGAGTTGGGTGAGAAGCTTGGGGACAGGGGCTCATCTCCCTGCAGACTCCAACTGCCCCCCCCCTTCCGGCTTGCAGCCCATCGACGGAAGAGCTCCCTGTGCAGAGCCCGAGCTCCCAGAAGCACCTGCCATAGTGGATCCAGCAGGAAGGAGCTGTTGGAGGCCCTCATTCTAGTGGACCCTAGTGGGGCTGCTGGGAGCTCAGACCGGAATGTTAACATCAGCGAGAGCAGAGGGAGAGGAAGGCTCTCCGGGCAGACAGTGGCAGCTGCATCGGCCAGGAGGTGAGGCTCTATGGCACCTGCAGGGAACTGGAGGTGATGGCAGGTAGAGCAGAGATGGTGTCCCAGGGCCAGTGTGGTTGGTGGGAGTAGCCAGGAGACGGCAGAACTGCTATTGGCGAGGGACACACAGTGGGAACTACACCTCTGGGGAGATCCAGGCAGGGTTCCTTGAGGGGCAGATGGGATTGGGAGGGTTTTCTAGGCCAGAGCTGCCTGCCCCAGAGTGAGTCAGGAGTTTGTCAAGGTACTGCCCTGGCAAGGCGGAGCTCACTGATCCTTGGGACACTCGGGACTGGGGGCTGGCCAGGTCTGCTCCTGCCCCTGGAGGCCAGCTGTTTTTTTCCCCCCACAACTTTCTGGTCTGTTTAGCTCCACGGACCCACACTGTGCTGAGGGTGTCCCCCGACTGGGGAAGTGAGATTCACCTCCACTGAACCTGGAAAGAGCAGAGCAGACAGGTGTGTGTCAGGCAGAGCACGGGGCAGGACCCGGCTTCCCTGGGGGCCATGGAGCTGTGTGTAACTGAGCTGGGGGAGGAAGAGAGCAGCAGGTACAGGGCCAGGCAGCTCCCCCAGCGTGGGGTCCACAGCCACCCAGTAGGTGCTGACGCGGCTCCCTGTGGAGAGAGAGAGCACAGATCTGCTGGGTGCGGGTTGCGGCGGGAGTGGGCATTGCAGCTGCGTGCGTCCTGCCTCTGCTAAGCCCAGCACTAATAGACTGCAGCTGCCCTTGGGTGGGGGCCTAATGCAAACCAGCAGGTTGCCTGGTTCCCTCTCCCAGTGCAAAAAAGTCTTGGCATTGGAGGCCTCCCTGGCAGCTTCTAGGATCTGCTCCCACCCTGTTGGTTCAATGGACCCTGGGCCCCTCACTAGTGACTGAGCCTGGCCCTCCACATGAATCCTGGGGGGCTCCTTTCCTCCTCCTAGGGGCCACCACCCCAAACTACTCTGCCATGTTTGGTTCTAAGCACTAAATCCACCATGCTTCCAGGAGGGAGGAGTCCCTAGCACCCCGCGTTTCAGATGAGGGGCTCAGTTATAGAGAGGTTAAGCAAATTGCCTTACTCTTGTTACCCAACTGGGACGTAGCAGGGTCAACTTGAACCCAAGCAGTCTGGCTGTGGCCCTCTGCCCAAAAGTCTTATTTTTTCCAAAGTAAAATCAAATTAGGCAGGGGACAAGGTCAGCGGGTCTTTGTTGGGATGCCTTTGGGCACCTGGCCTGTAACAGATTTTAGTTGCCAGACGCCCTGAGGCTGGGCCAGGCCCTCTGGGAGGTAGCCTCATCTCTAGGCTGGTCTTGGAAGGGATGGGCACCCAGGGTCATCTATCTTATCTGGTTGCCCCAGTCACATGTGCCTCCTTGCTGGGCCAGTGAGCTAAGTGGACAGTCTGACTTACTGGCCACACTGGAGCATGGCGGGCACAATGTGTCCACTCTATTGTACGCTGATGGCCTCGTGGATCTAGGATGGCTGCAGATGACCCCTCTCTGGGCTAGCCTGGGTTCTGCAGCTGTGAATGCAGCTCAGCAAATGAAGCTGGAGCTTTGAAGGACTATGTGGATGGTGCATAGTGAGGCTGGGGTCTCCAGGAGGCCCAAGTGCTTGTCCACAGCCCCAGACTTGGCGCCCACCAGGGGCCTTCCGTCTCGGGGAGCACAGCCTCTGCCTTGCACCGAGCCCTTGCAAGACTGGTGTGCACACGGCACACAGGTGTGTGAACACGTGTTCTCTCCGGGCCCAGCACTCCCACAGCTCTCTCCTTTCCCTGGGCGGCAGCAGAAGCGATTCCTTGTGCTATAGTCCGGTCCTCTCTGCCTTGGGAGGGGTGGCCGAACCCTGGCTGCTCCCAGTGGCAAGGCCATCTTCAGTCTCTTGCAAGGGTGTTTTCCTTAACTATTATTTCCTCCATAATGCCTAGATCATTCACCAAAGTCAAGACCACGGCCCCTGACACATTGCATTCGGTATTGCCCCAGCTCATCAGTATCACAATAATGCTCAGGATCCTAGCACTCACTGGGAAATAAGGAACTTCATCAGGGGATTTCCTCATGGCAAAGACTGGCGTCATCTTAGAGTCTATATGTTAAGGGCCAGCGCTGTGCAGTAGTCTAAGCCTCCGCCTGTGGTGCTGGCATCCCATATGGGTGCCGGTTCATAAATTTTAAAAAAAAGTTAAAATTGTATTTTTTAAGACTGATTTACTTGAAAGGCAGAGCAAGAGATACATTCCATCTGCTGGTTCACTCCTCAAATGGCCACAATGGCTCAGGTTGAAGCCAAGAGCCCAGAACTCCATCCTGGCTTTCCAGGTGATATGGGCCCACATACTTGGGCCATCATCTACTGCCTTCCCAGGCAAGTTAGCAGGAAGCTGGATTGGAAGAGGAACAGCCGGGCCTTGAACCAGCACTCTGATATAGGATGCCAGTGTTGCAAGCGATGGCTTAATCCACTGTGCCACAAAACCAGCCCTGGCTGCGTTCACTAAGAGAAGACACACTCCTTTGAGCCCAAGGAGACAAAAGTTCACTGTATTTGCTCGGCAAGCTCTCATGTGCATGCTAAAAATACCGCCCCAGTGTTGTCTCTGGGGTGAGTGACGTGTGCCTGGTGAGGTGCCATCAGGCGTGGAAGAGGAGCCTGGCAAATTAATTGACTGTCCCTCGGCAGCAGCTCACAGATGGGAAGGGACCTGGTCCTCCCTCAAGAGAAACCTGGATGCAGGTCACATCAGCAGGTGCCAACAAAGCCTGCAGGAAAGCTGGTGCCCAGGGGCAGGAGGCCCAGGCGCCATTAGTGCTCATCGTGTAGGCTCCCAGCCCTGCCTTCCCCCGCCACTGACACTGAGCTAGACAGGAGGCCTCTCCATGGGCTGGGTCGGCAAAGAACCCTATGTGGGTTCTGCCGCTTCAAAAAGACTATTCGAAGTGTGGATGATTAAAGAAAAATGAAACATGCAAAGAGTTGGACCAAATACTTTAATTTCTACAAGGTCCCCTTTCAAGTCTTGGGGAAGCTGAAGTGAAGTGTATACAAAGTAGACATTGCTAATATGTACGAAAGTATTTTCTAGTTTTCGAACAATACCGGCTATTTCATCAGTAAACAGGACATTACAAAAACAGTCCAATAATGCATTTTCTATTAAGCACAATACACAACATAATTCAGTTTTATTAAAAAATAACTTCACAATGCAGAACAATCGCCTTTTGGAAGAAGCTGTTCCTGCAGTTCATGTCAGTCAACACAAGTGGCCGCTGCAGCTGAGGGCCAGCCTTCCCCGCTGCAGAAACAAAGAGGCTTCCAGGGCCGTCCTTTTCAGGGTGAGGTCCCAGGACAGCCGAGATGAGCACAGGTAGTTACTGCCTGTGGAGAATTCTGCAGTTTTCCCTCACCCGCCCACGCACTAATCCCCAGAACCTATGAGAATGATGAGCTCTCTTTCCCGCAATTACGTTCTGTTCTATGGCACGACTGACCTCTGTGGGTTTGATCTAATGGCATGGACCCTGAAAACAGAGAGGGAAGGGATCTGCCGCATGAGAAAGAGCAGGGCTGGAGGGGAGCCCTCCAGCAGGGATGCAGGCAGCTTTGAGGGGCCCAGAACCGCCCCGCACCCCAACTTCCAGCCAGCAGAGAACTAAGTTCTGCCAGCGACCTGAATGAGTCCGGAAACCGATCCTTGCCCAGTGCCTCCATAAAGGAATGCTACCCGCCAACCCTGGATTTCCACCCTGTGGGACCCTGAGCAGAGGGACTCCAGCCATCCCATGCCAGACCCAAGAGCTACACAACTGGGAGCTAATAAATGGGTGGTGTTCTGAACTGTTGCACTTTGGGTAATTCCTCACAGAGCAACAAAAAGCTAATGCACTGCCCAGGGGTAACGTAGCTAACCTGATTAGATTCGGCGTGTTCTGTTTGGGTTCTCAACACCTGCCTTCCGGCTGAGCAGGGGTAAAGCAATAGTCTCCGCAGGCGACTTCTGAAAACCCTGCAGGTGAGGCAGACTCTGACCTGCGTGCCCACAAGTACCCTCTGACTCAGTCCTGGCTTCCAACTTAAGTCTTGGGCGACTTGGCAAGCAACTGCCCACCTAACCCTGTTTACATTCGTTGTCTGGGTGACAGTCACCCCTCCATCAGTCAAGGGCTGTCAGCCCACCCCCGGCCCAGAGGGTTCTCTTCTACTTCCCTAGTGTTCCCCAGCAAGGCCTGGGGCGGAGTGGTGCCGAGGTGTGTGTCACATCACATCGATTTCTTCTGCATAACTGCATCAAGCTGGCACTAAGGTGATTAAGTACACTTGGGGACAAAACACTGAAGAGTAAAAAACCACACATACACTACATTTTACAGGGCAACTTATTTCTGGAGGCCCCGCCCAAAGACATGAAGATACGTAAGGACCACAGCACCCTGCCCACTCTGCTCCTGGGTGCACGGGGGTCAGGCAAGGCTTCCCTGGCTGGAAGGCGTGGTGGAATCAGGAAAACCGTGCTGGTGACAGCAGGAACTGCTGAGGTGGCGTGTCCCGTACACGATGGACTGAAGAGGAAAGGCCTGCAAACTCTCCAGAGGTGGCACTTTGCTGCTGCTGTTACTGATGCGCACTCTTCAACCCGCTCTTCCAGGAGCACAGACAGGCAGCAGACCTGAGTGGCCACGTTCCCTACCGCCAATCTTGCCTGCTCAGGGGAGAACCAAACCACGACTGTGTTTGAGAGAAGCGCCCCAAACTGTCAAAGTGAAGACAGCTCAGAAGAAACCATTTTTGGTGCCAGTGAATAAAAAAAAAAGAAATCCCCTTTGTGTCTGATGAACCCTGACGTACGAGAGTAATGCTCACCGGGGCACCTGAGGGCACCAAGCACCAAAGCATGAACTGGAAGAGGATGTTTTCCAACCCAAACTTGTGATAGTATCTATTAAAAAGCACATAAAACAGTAAGTCCTCAGAGACGCTGCACGTATGTCTAGTTAAGGCCGACTTACTCTTCACAGCCTCACCCACAGCCTGAGAGGCAAGGCCGACCGTGGGTGGCACGATGTCCGCACTCCTGACCCTCTGACTGCTAAGCAGTGAGGAGGGAGTGAAGAAGCCCAGAGCCCCTACCGTGTGCTCCTCACTACGGGCACTGACCCCGGGGGCTGTTTTGGGAGGACATGGGTATGACTGTTCTTCACAGTCCTACGCTTGGCAGCTTATATGCTAAAACCTGAAAAATGGGCAAAACACATCTGTATTCTAAGGAATACAAGAGATGGAGAGAAAGTCTACCTAAGATAATATTGTAAATTATACTTGGTACATTTCACAATTTCTTGATTCAAGAAAACGAAATTCACTTCCATAGTTGGCTACTGTAAAATGTGGCATAAAAATAGTTCTAGGAGATACCTGTATTTTAAGTTCTTCTGTGCAGATGTAAATGAATAACAAGAAGTGTCTACCTCTGAAATTCACCTCTAATATTGAAATAGAACAACAGACTTCCATGAAGTTTCTCAAACTTTTAAGTTACCAGATATTTACAAATAAAGTTAGAATTTGTATCAAAAAACAGACGTTTTCAACTGTATCTGCTGCTTTCACTGGGGCTCCGGTGATGAGAGTAACTTCGGTCACTTTCACTGTCGGAGCCATAAGATCTGCAACTCCTGTATAACACAACACAAACGCAATATATGAAAATCTTTTAACCATCAATCCTACTTTAGTATATGTGCTGCCGAAGCGAGCACTAACCATGAATCCTTTCAATTCCTCTGGCAATTTCTTCTTTGATTTGAGTGGCTTGAAAACACTACTGCATAGCAGAGCACGAGGGGAGGGCAAGAGGGGCACTCACCACAGGAGCACCATGAACTTCTCCAAGATGTTTTAAGTGACAACAGTAACAAGGTTACAATAAAATAAATATCTTGGGAAATTTACTTGGAGTCCATTTGTGCAAATGAGCAGAATAATTTCCATGTTAACAGTACACGCATAGTTTCATTAAAGGTACGGAAAGCAAAATGCGGCCCAACGAGGGGTGGGAATGGGTCTGTGTTTGAACAAGGCCACTGGGATACTGAGTCAAGATGACATGGTTATGGCCACCAGTCAGGTATTTTGTGGGCACCTTTCCTCTGCCCCCTCCCCCAAAACCCCAGTAGACAAGTAGGTTTCTCTGGGACTCAAGGGTGTGACAGTGGCCAGACAAGTCAGTCAGGGGCGGTGAGAGCCCAGGAGGCGCAAAGACTGACTCAGGCACCGGGAGGGAGGGAGCTCAGCACTGGTGGTCAGAGGGCTTTCTGGGGCAGCGTGTTACAGCGGAGACCTGCGAGGCAGGTGGGAATCGTTGATTTCAAGAAGCTAAAGAGGGGATGGTGGAGCAAGCCTCTGTGCCTCCAGGCAAAGGGCCCACATTAAAGGAGAGGAGCAGGGAGGCCATTGCTGTGGCACAGCAGGTAAAGCTGCCACCTGCAGTACCGGCATCCCCTATAGGCACTGGTTTGAGTCCCAGCTGTTCCACTTCCGATCCAGCTCTCTGCTATGTCCTGGGAAAGCAACAGAAGATGGCCCAAGCCTTTGGGCCCTGGCACCCATGTGGGAGACTCAAAAGCAGCTCCTGGCTCCTGGCTTTGGATGGGTGCAGTTCCAGCTGTTGCAACCAGTTGGGGAGTGAACCAGCAGATGGAAGACCTCTCTCTCTCTCTGCCTCTCCTTCTCTCTCTGTGTAACTGTTTCAAATAAATAAATCTTAAAAACAAACAAAAAACAGGGGGGCCAGGAAGAGTCCAAGCTGGAGTGGGCAAATGCACGTGATGCTGAGGAGCTGAGACCCAACCGTGGAGGCAGTGGGGAGCCCGTGAAGGGTGTCCAAAGCTCAGATATTTTACGAGGATCACTGTCGCTGCCACGTGTGGGGGAGGATAAGACCACAAGCCACCAGACAGGGGCATCAGGAAAGTGACCGTAACGACTTCTGCAGTAGCCAAACTATGTTACCTAAAACATGTAATACATACATGCATTTTCCTAAATAACGGAGATACAAACCTCAATCCTGCTGACACAAATAATTATGATACTTCATAAAGTGACAAACTGGCTATTTTGAGCAAGTAGCCCTATTTAAGGAAGTGGGTCATGGTTTGGGTGCCCCCCATTCCTTCCAAAAAAGATATCTGTCTGTGGACATGTGAATACTGAAAACCTCAAGTCGGAATAACAATTACCAATAAACAATGCCTGGCAACTCTTAATACAAAGGCCACATATAGTAACTGCCTGTGGGCTGCTGGAATTCAAAACTTAAAGAAGTATTTCTGTTTTCAGGCTACCAGCATCAAGTCAGCACTTCACAATAAGCACCCACAGTGGCCTACAGAGCCCTAAGAGGGAGACCTACCTGGACCGCCTGTTGTAACTTCTACTTCGGTGGTAACTGTCACTCCTCTGACTTCGACTTCGACTCCGACTCCTGCTATAGTAGCTGTCGTAAGTATAGGACCTGCTTTAACAACAACAGCACATGTTACATTTTCCCATTTAAACATTCATAGGTTGCATGTCTTTTTAGGATTTGAAGAGGGTCCTAGCTTACAACACGGGCACTATCTGACAAAGTGGGAAGAGCTGCATGGCAAGTACTGGAAACACTGAACAAGTGCCCACATGAGACTTACATGGTACATAGAAAAATGTTAACTGACTCAGTTTCTCACTGAATCTGGGAGTTAATAGGCAGTTTTATTCAATGAACACCTCTCATTACAATCTGACACTGTCATTTTTGACAGTGCAACACGATGGACCAACAGACAAAAACTGTCAAAAAGACCTCATTCAGAAGGGGTATGATTTCAGGAGACAAATACATGCATTTAAGCTAATCAATGAGACATAACACTTTCAGGTAAGAATCTGTAACACTAGGCCTTTCCATTGTGCCTGCACAGGAGGTTCCCTAACCCCTGTGCGTACCTGGACCGACTGTGGGGATCATACGAGCTGCTCCTAGATCGGCTCCTGCTGGACGTCCTAGAATCAATCACATGAAGGACCATCATCTTATGGGGCAGGGCAAAACAGGCTCTATCAAACATCTAGACACTTGTCCATCAAAGTGAAAATACAGCACAATCCCACAGCTATGTATTTGTTTTCAGATGAAAGATTTATTGGAGTTTTAAAAAAAGCCTACTAGGTTCCAGAAGATGAAGTGTTATGAGGACCTTCCGGGATGCATATAAAGGAAGTCATGGGGAGGCTGGGCGGGGAGAGGGTGGTCTGCAGGGGTGGGACGCAGTGGCAAACACCTCAGAGGCCAATGAGGGAAAGAAGCTGGGGAAGTGGCAGCTGGGGTCACCCTCTACCTCACTTCCTCCTCTCAGGGCTTCTGGACCATCTTCCTATCCTGACCTCTAACCCCAGTCAAGAGGTGACTGCGGAGAGGAACTCAGGCTAAGCATGAGCCTCTCGCTAGCATTCCTCACTCTGGTAAGATCCCGTCCCGGCAACAGCAGGAAGAGCTAGGTGAGAAAACAGGCCAGTCAACGACGCAGGGCTCTTCTCCCTGGCTCCCCCACGGCACCTGCACAGCCCTGAGTGCAGATGAGCTGCAGACCACGGTGCGGGCGGGGCACAAGCTCACCTGTGGCTTTTGTAACTGCGGTAGGAACTGCTCCGGCTTCTGCTTCGGCCTCTGCTGTACCACCCTCGGCTCCGACTTCTGGAGTAGCTTCTTGACCTACAGTTAACACGAGTGAAACCACGTAACTACAGGAATTTACCTACAGTTCAAATCTGTTGCTGGCAGTGCAGGGAAGGAAGACACTCCCACAGGAAAGCTGTCTCAAACTCCTCATGGTGGCTATGAGGTGAGAGATGAGGAGGCAACCTGGAAACCAGCACGGTTTCAAGCAAACAGAATGAAATAAAAGCTGG